GTTGGTGGACCGGGTATGGAAAAGTGAGGGACTAGTTGATGGGGTGAGAACCCCGGCCCAAAGAAAGAGGCCCAGAGAGAATGCATGGGCCGAGTCCAGGACTCGGCCCAGGTCCAAAGAGGGAGGCCCAGTTCAGAGACCGGAAGGACGGCCCAATACCAGGCGGGGACGAGGAGTCGGCCCAAGCCCGACCTAGGAGAGGACTCGGTCCGGAGAGCCGTTGAGGGAGCCTTCAGCACAGTTAAGACAAGGAGCCGTTGAGGCATTAAAGGCCGGGCTCGGTCCGCTAGTTATTAGCCAAAGAGAGCCGTTGGCAGAGTCTGTAACGTCGCCCAACGGCTCGGCGCATTGAATGTACCCTTTAAGTCGGCCATCATGAGCCTTTAAGACGGTAGAGGAGGAGCCACTATAAAAGGGCTCCTCCACCATTGTATGGGACAGATTCCAGAACCCGGAGAGGGAATAGACAAAGTACTATTAAGCATCATATTTTACTACTAAAACTCAAACCCTTTTGTGAAAGGTGTATCCACCAGCTATAGGTTGTGTTGGACCTCCTTGGGCCCGAAAACCCAAAAACCATCAACAGCCACTTTAATAATGTAGGGGGAAAAAAATGCTATAGGTATATAACTCATGGGGAAAAAGTGTCATTTTCCCTAAATTCTTTATATTAGTATTACAAAAAATGGATTGATATTATATATAGTTAACAAGGTGCTATAGGTTTTATTTATTAACTTAAATAAATAAATAAATTATTATTCTTTCCTTTTAAATTAGTATTTTCTACCTTAAATAAATAAATTATTTTGCCTAATTTATATTATATTCTTTAAGCTACAATTTTGACATGATATCTTCGTAGCCCATTTTATTATATTGAGCCTTGGTACACAAGTCCAAATCAAATATATGTATGTACACGCATAAAAATAATCCTAATCTATCTATATAACTATAATTAAAAGTAAAATCCTCCTAGCTAAATTTTTCCCCCAAAATTTAGAGGCATTTATGTAATATCATCCATTATTTATATATAGATATTATTATATGTCATTATATTCAAATCAAATTATAGTAATTTTATATTCATCTCCATTTATATTAGATATATTCCTATTTCCGTGTATTATAGGACTTCAATATATTAGGCATAATCAGACTCAAATCAAATTAAATTATAGTAATTTTATATTCATCTCCATTTACATCCTAATAGTATTCCACTATTCCTATGTTCGTGTATTATAGGACTTCAATATATTAGGCATAATTAGACATGCCTAATAACATTTACTGTGCAGAATATATTATTATATTGGTTAAATTTAATTATGGTGAATATTTAATTTTAATTATGACCATTAACATTCAATATATTAGGCATAATTAGACATGCCTAATTTTAATTGTGGAGATGACAACTCAAAAGAGTGCGGATCGTAAATATATGTGTATTAATTTTTTTTTTTTCATGTTTATATTCACTACCATTATATTTTTAAGATTCATATATATATATATATATATATATATATATATATATATATATATATCAAATTAATACTGTATTTTTTTTCCTGAATAATTTTAGGCTTAGTTTGTTGATGTATCAATAACATTGTTCAATCTCTGTGAATAAGGATTATTCCTTTGTTGTGTAGTACCATACAGAATTTACTATACAATCATGTAAATGAAAATTAAAAGTTTCATATTTAGTTCTTATTAATATACATGCAATTGCATATATTGAAAAAGTAGTATATAAATTTAATAAAGTATATTTTATTGGTAGTTTTATTTTTAAAAAAATGCAATATTTCGCAACTATTTCAGGTAAGCACTTTAGCAAGTTGTTTGTATATTATATTTATTAATTACTGTATTTTTTTTTATTTTGTGAATATATTTCATGCATGAAAATTGAATTGTAGATGTATCATATCCAATTCTTTATCATAATATTCTTTTTTATTTTATTGTGATGAAGATTGTATTTATGAGTTTAGACATGGGATGGATTAACAACTATCATATTCTTTTTAATTTAATTGTGATGAAGATTATACAGATGAGTCATGAGTTTAGACATTGGACAAATTAACATGGATGTTAGTAAAGGATGTGGCAACACCTAACTTGCACAATCAAATGAATGGCTCAGATTAATTAAAAGATTGATCAGATTTAAATTTTACATTAAAATTTCCTAAAATACCCACACACCGTTACTAATTCCGTTAAAATTTTAAGAATTGCCGTTAGTTTACCGTTAACTTACTCATTGATTTCAATAAAAAAAGGTCTTAGGTTCGAACCTCATCCCAATCAAAGTTGGCATAATTAGTACTCTATTTTACTCTTATTAAATTATATAAATAATAATTTAGTAGTTACAACAAAAAATAATACATATGCATTTCTTTAATTTAGAATTATGTGTCCATAATGCCTTTATTCAAAAAAAAAAAATTATTCATTATCAATCAATTAAATAAGAGAAATAATTTTATTAGTTATATTGTCTTTATTTTTCTTCAATATAAAAATTCTTTATATTCAAATTTATTAATTGATTATATTCGCTACATTATCCTTACAATGTCTTTATTCAGTGAAATTTTTTTTATTAATTATCAATAAATTAATTAAAAGAAATATTTTCATTAGTTATATTGTCTTTATTTTTCTCAAATGTAAAAATTTTTACATTCAAATTCATCAATTGATTATATTCACTACATTATCTATTATTTTTTTTGTGCACTATTTTTCTAATTAAATATCAAAGTTATAATACAAAATAATGCTATATATTTATTTACCAAGTATTTTATTAATACCATGAAAAAATTAAAAAAATATAATTAATAAAGTCAACCATATTAACTACTTGAGAGATTTTGTGACAACGAGAGTATTCAAATCACACAACAAATTGAAGTGAGAACTACCTCGCAATGTCCTTGTTTGACAATCAGCAGTTAGCGGTTAACGTTAGCGGATTTGACCATCGAATTTATTTAATTATTAACATTGGGTAGAAAAAATGATCGTCAAATTATTAAATCAAATGAATGGTTCATATTGTTCAGGTTTTATTTTTTTCTTTTAAGATTTTCTAATTTATCCTTAATTATATGATTATCCATTTAACTTTTCCGTTAATTCACCGTTAGTCTAATTCTAATATTAAAGTCTAATATAGAACTATAACTACACCATTAATCTAATTCTAATATTAAAGTCTTAATAGAACTTAACCACAAATCCTAATGTCGGAATCTCCTCAAACAATATTAGTATATATTTAATATTTTATGTCCTAATTTTTATTTGTTCTCCCTTAAGTCCCGTATTTGGTTTCAACGATACCTATACAATTATTTTATTGACAATTATAATCAATCTTGACTATATTATCTTGCATTTGTAAACTTAGAATTACCTATTTAACCCGCACGGGCTTAGCTCAATGGTTTAGTGGGTAGTATTTGGGAGAAGAGACGAAGGTTTGAATTTCGGCGGCGGTAGTGCGGGAATTATGTCCAAAGTGGGCAGATTCCTTGTGCGTATCAGCATTTGGCCTTGTCTGCTGAACCATTGAGTCACCGTGATTTACAACTTCTCACAATGCTCTGTCGGGTCGGAGTGTGGGTGGCCCTTAGGGTTGGGGACTCAACCTTTGGGAGAAGAATTACCTATTTAAATACGCAAATTCAACCTTCAATTATCTATGCATGAACAATTTCAATATAATCCTGTCTTAATATACTTTAAAATACTTATTTAAAAAAAGCATTGGGCATTATCCCAATCGCGCAATGCGCGTAAAAAACTAGTATATATAGATATATAGATGTGTTTGGTAAATTAGCTGTTAGTTAATAGTTGTTTGGTATAATTTATGTTCTCAAAAAACTAATTGAAAAAATTGTTTTGAGCAGTTTTTTTGAATTTTAGCATTTTGGAGTTACAAAAAGCTTATTAACTAAGCACTTATATTGATTTTTTAAACCAAACTAAACAGGTAATAGTGTTCAAATAAGCCAAAATGACTTATAATAAGCTAACTATTTTACCAAACATGACCTTAGTATTTTGGAACAATAAGCTGTTACAAAAATCTAATTAATCAAACACTCATATTAATTGTTTAACCTAGTCAAATAATAAATAATGATTAAATAAATCAAAATTAACTAATAAACTGACTATGTTATAAAATATGGCTTATATGTTTTATATATTTATATGTTCATGAACAATATATTACTCTATATTTACCTGGAAAAATCGTATTTACCTTTCTAACAACGATGGTTATATATTTGATGGGAAATAAATAGAGATGTCTCTTCCCTATCATGAAAGGACTAAGGAAGGAAGAAAATAGTAATGGGAAAGAGAACTCCATACCCCAATAAATTATCAAATTAGAAAGGAAAAGAGAACAAATTTGATGCCTAATTAGTGTGTGGGGTCCGTCGGACTATGAGGCCGCTCTAATAATATATGTACATAATTAAATAAATATAGCTAAAATAATGGGTAATATACTTTTTTTTTGAAAGGATGGGTAATATACTTTGTTTTCCATTTCCAATTATTGTTTCAAAATCTCATGTGCCCAAAATGCCACTAACACTTACGCTTGATCTTCAGCCACACATCATGGCAAGGCATAATCATCATGGCCAAATTAAACCTAGTGGCTAACATGTTCTTTTTTTGGTGGCCAGAGGTGGTTATAACTATTTTCTTTTGGTGGTCGGAGGTGGTTATTCTCAACAGGTTTTACCCACTGTTTTCCTTTTTTTTTTTTTTTTTTATTATTATTATCTTTTTCCCCGTCTCTCTAATATTTGTATTTTTTTCCTTATATATTTTGTCCTTATTCTTCTTTGTTTGGCCGGCGGTGGCTATATTAGACTTAATGAGTTTTTGTTCCCGACTATTGCACGTTTTTAAAGACTTAATTGATATTTGTTCATATATTTTATATCTTAATCTTATATGCTGATTAATAATATATTTACCTGGAAATCATTGTTTATGATCATCCCAATGGTAGCAAAAATGGTGACGAAGAAAGACATGACTGTTTGGATCTCCAAAACCAAAGTATAGGTGATCGCCTGGTTTGCTAGCTTGTACAGCAACTCTATCGCCGGCAAAATCAGCCCGTACAAACCCGCCGCCAAAAGCGTCGTCACGAACCCTATTATATACTCCTTGCTAGATTCTCCGGCGGGGCGGTCGCTACCGGCCCCGAAGGCCAAAACCCCGGCACCCGCGGTCAACAGCACCATCGCGTTGACGGAGTAGGCCGTGAACGTCTGTTTGACGAGGAGAAACGCGAAGCCAGCAGTGAAGGCGAGCTGTGTGGCGATGAGGAGGGAGGTGGTGGAGACCGGAAGTTTGGCCATGCCGTAGGCGTAGAGGAAATTGTCGAGGCCAGTGAGGAGTCCGATAGCAGCCGTGGCGGCGAATATCTTAGGCGTCATGAAGAAGAGCTTTGTCGCCGGGCCCTCGGCTCTGAGGCGGAGAAAGTATGCGACGGCGAGAGGGAGGACGATGATCGGCCAGGCGGCGTTTATCAGCCAGGTAGTAGACATAACAGTACGTTAAAAATTTGGTATACAAATTTTAAAATTTGTAATATTTATGATAATGACTTTTTTTTAATAATTAAATCTTCTCGATGAATAGTCTAAAAGCTCATAATTTTCACAGGAAGAGATATTTTCATACGAGCTAGGACCATACATATAATATATTAATATGGTTCTTGAACTCATAACCTTTCAAATGAAAGTCCAACCTGGATACCATTAGACCACATAGTCTTGGTAAAAAAAAAAATGACTGTTTAATTTTATAAATATTTAAATTTTTACAATTGTAAAATTAATCCATTATTATCAGCCGATCTGTTCTCACTTTTTAAATGAATGCTTGTTCTCAAGTTTGAACAATTTAAACTGTCTTAAAAAGACATCATTATTCAATAAAAAGCAAAATTATTAATAATAATTAATATGATGAATATAACACATTACAATTATATCATAGTTATTTATATAACAATATTAAAATTTGCAGTATATAAAAGAAGTAATATTATATCATGTATGCACGTATTTACCTTTGTAACAGCGATGGTTATATATTTGATGGGAAAGAAATAGAGATGTCTCTTCCGTATCATGAAAGGACTGAGGAAGGAAGAAAAATAGCAATGGGAAAGAGAACTCTACACCCCAATAAATTATCAAATTTGAAAAGAAAAGAACTAGCTTGGTTGGGTCCGTGCACTTTTATTCTTTAAGAGAGGTTAGGAGTTTTCGTATAAAAAAAAATTAATCTGGCTAATATTATTGAGCCCACTGAGTGTGAATGAAAATTAATCTAAATGTGATACGGACCCTACAGTTAGAACATGCTCAAGACACTTTAAAAAAATTAGAAAAGAGACCACATTTGATGCCTAATTAGTGTGTGGGGTCCGTCAATATAAGTAAAATAATGGGTAATATACTTTGTTTTCCATTTCCAATTACAGTTTAAAAATCTCATGTACCCAAAATGCCACTTAACACTTACACTTGATCTTCAGCCACACATCATGCCAAGGCATCATCATCATCATCATCATCATCATCATCATCATCATCATTATTATTATATTATATTATACTAGTATTTTCCCCCGTGCGATGCACGGAATGGAATTGTTGTAATATATTAAGAATATTTAAATCGATATATAATTATTTAAGAGTTAATTTCACCAGAGGTCGTTTATCTTTCTTGACAATTCTAAATTTAATCCTAGACTATAGTTATTAATTATTACAATTTATTCTATGTTACAACTCTTACGTTAATATTCTTACTATTATTATTAACACTTAATTACTTAGATATTATTATTACCACTTATATTATTATTATTATATTATTATTAGTTTCTTTTCAAGTACTGTTAGTATATAATGGTCGTGAGGTACAATAATAATATAACCATAATTAAATATTCTTGTATTGTATTCCGGAGTTAATGTCATTTTTTATCCTAGACTTATTGAGGCATTGACACTTTTCATCCTCCATAATAAAAATTGCCACTTAGTAGACACTGTTATTGGTCGTTGGACAGTTTTGATCCTTCGTCAATGAAACCGTTTGTTGACCGTGAATTAGAAGGGCTTTTCTGTCTTTTTATGTCTTATTCTTCTAATCTTGTTTAGACCAGCGCTGCTGTGACTCCTGTGAGGCGATATGGCGAGACTTGGCGGCTAAGTAGTAACCGTCGATAGTGAGTAGCAGCGAGGTTCTTCTCCGGCGAGTTGTGGGTACGGCGGCGAGCATACGAGGCAGTAACTCCTTCCGGCGACGGACCAGTAAGGCAGATCTGGCGGTGCAGCAACAGATCCGGCGAGGTTGAGGCCTTCACCGGTGGTTTTTGGTTCCGGCGAAGCAGAGAGGGCAGCAGGTCGGCGAACCCTCCTATGGTAAATAGCAGTTGTAGTTGTAGATGGCGTGATGTAGAATTTGCACCTGTAAGTCCTCCCTTCCATATTGACCACAAATATCCTTCCGATCTCTCTCTCTCTCTCTCTCTGACCACAACTACTTGGTGCACAACCTCAAAAACTCTGTTATTCTACCTGAAATTCATTGAAGTTTCAAGCTGAAAATGTGGAATCCGTTGCTCCCCAAAAATCGCATTGTCTGAGGTGTTGGAATGGCCGGTGTTGACTTCCTGGCTGTTGTAGCTTCATTCCCCAACCCGGAACCCGGATGATAAAATTCGGAGCACTAGCTTTGAGGTTCAAGGAGGTGGTAACACTGGCAATGCTTTGATAAAACCCGGATGATAAAATTCGTCTTGGTCTTAATCCAAGGATCATATCTAAGGTTGCTGATGACTCGCATGGCGAAAGAATACTTGATGAGCTTGAAAGGGATGGTGTTGATACATCATTTTCGGTGGTGTCCAAAGGAGGAAACTCACCATTCACATATGTCATTGTTGACCACCAAAAAAAAAACTCGCACGTGTATTTTCACTCCAGGATATCCACCCATGATATCTGAGGGTCTACATACCCAAATCAAAATTGTCTTCAGCGCTTGGAGTAAATATTGTCTACTTAGATGGAAGGCTGCATGAGACTGCTTTGATTGTAGTGCAGGAGGCAAAGAGTAGGGGCATACCTATTATAGTTGATGCAGAAAGGTTAAGGGAGGGGTTGGGTGATATTCCTGACTTTGCTAGTTATGTTGTATGCTCGACAAAATTTCCACATGCATGGACTAACGCCCTTTCTATTCCAACTACACTTGTTTCCATTATCTTGAGATTGATGTCAAATGTAAAATTATTGATTGTTAGTTGATGAAGATGGTTTCTTAATGTTAGAAAGGACTGAAGCGGATAACCTCAGTTTGAAGAAATGGATGTAGCAGTGACCAATGAATGGAGAAATACAAGGATTAGAACATAAAAAGACAGAAAAACTCTTCTAATTCACAGTCAACAAACGGCGTCATTGAGGAGGATCAAAACTGTCCAACAATCAATAACAGTGGCTACTAAGTGGCAATTTTTATTATGAAGGATGAAAATTGTCAATGCCCCAATAAGTCTAGGACCAAAATGGCATTAACTCTTGTATTCCGTGAGTCACAATAATAATATAACAATAATTAAATATTGTTCAATTCTATATTCTTCTAGGATTTCTATTACCATCATTAATTATTTCCAAATTTACCATAATTAAATAATTTGACCAATTATAAAGAAAGATTATTAAATAATGCACGGGACAATTATTTAATTAAAAATTTTAAAAATTCATTAATAAAACATAAGGTTCTCATAGTTTTTTCTTAGAAACTATTTAATAAAGTATTTTTTTTAGAAATTGGTGGGCCAAACCGCCTACGGCAGTTTGCGGTGGATAGATATCAAAAAAATACGCGATTTCAAAAAAATATTTGTCCAAAACGGACAACGGAGTCAAAAGTTATGCCTTGCCGAACTTTTGACACTTTACAACTTTAAAAAAAAAAAATAACAACTAAAGGCCGGTTCAGCCGGCAAGGCGGCCGCTGAGGAGGCCGATTCCGGCATTCCTCGCCGCGGCCAACGACACGATTTTTGCAACACTAATATATAAAATAGATATAGATTAGAATAGGACTAGTATTACACAATTTTATAATATTACAATAAAATTTTAACCCAGAATTATTGTAGAAATCAATATATTTTATTAGGAAGAGAGATTTTTTAGGAATTGGGCAGGAAGTTAAAATTTCCTGATTTTGTTTTTATATGTAGTATAGATATAGATTGTATTACACTATTTTATAATATTAGAATAGAATTTTAACGCACAATTATTGTACGAATGGGAAAGTAGAAATGAATATATTTTATTAGAAAAAGAGATTTTTTAGGAATTGGGCGAAAAGTTAAAATTTCAGGATTTTGATTTTATATATAGTATAGACTGTATTACACTATTTTATAATATTAGAATATAATTTTAACGCAGAATTATTGTACGAATGGAAAAGTAGAAATCAATATATTTTATTAGGAAGAGAGATTTTTTAGGAATTGGGTGGGAAGTTAAAATTTCCTGATTTTGATTTTATATATAGTATAGATTGTATTACACTATTTTATAATATTAGAATAGAATTTTAACGCAGAATTATTATACGAATGGGAAAGTAGAAATCAATATATTTTATTAGGAAGAGAGATTTTTTAGAAATTGGGCGGTAAGTTAAAATTTCAGGATTTTGTTTTTATATATAGTATAGATAGTATTACACTATTTTGTAATATTAGAATAGAATTTTAACGCAGAATTATTGTACGAATGAGAAAGTAGAAATCAATATATTTTATTAGGAAGAGAGATTTTTTAGGAATTGGGCGGGAAGTTAAAATTTCAGGATTTTGTTTTTATATATAGTATAGATTATGATAATAATAAATTTTTGACAAGAAAAGAATATAATAAATGATGATTATTTATTCTGTAGTATAATTTAATTTGTTATTATAAAGTTATAATAATATGGTCAAAAAGATTATTTTCTCTTAAATGTAATTAGTCTGCTCATCACTGATAGTTGAATTGATTTTTGTATGTATGTATCCAAAATTCACAATTAAAGTACATATTTTTGCTGCTCGGGCGTATGATGTGTTCCTTAATTAGCTTGGAATTTCTATCATAATCATAAACTTTTTGACAAGTAAAATTTTTGGAGTTGAGCCAAAGTCACCTATCGACTTGATTTTCGTAGTTTGATACTTTGTTCAGGATTCAAAATTAGATTGTGATATTTTTGACTAGAATGTAATAATTCTTTGACCTAGTTAGTTTAGATTCATTATCTTATTCCAATTTCTCATCATATTCTCTCCGATCTTCATTTGCTCACATATTTTAATTTCCACTTCTCCGGTGGCCAATTAATTGGCATCAGATGTTTGCCTGAAAAAGTCTACGTTAAACTTTTTATTTGGTTAAAACCCTATACTTTAATCTTAGGATGAAACGTAAATATTCTTTATTAATTCATTTAGCTCACGAATGAAAATTTTATATTTTAAAGTTAAAAATCTTCATTATATATATTTTAATAAACTTCTTTTTTACAAGTTTTTTTAATATAATTTTATAAGTTTTTTCTAAAATAAATTTTTTTTTCTATTTTCTTCTTCTCCGACAAACAAAGACACACAGTTTAAGTGGATCACAAATATTCATATTCATGATTATATCATTATATTGTTGATCATGGTTCATATTGCATGATGAGTCACAGATATTCGAATTTATTTTTAACATATTGTAAATTGATTTTTACTATACTACAATTTCATTTTTAGTGTACGACTTAAAACTGAATATGTAGTACAATAAAAATAAACTTTCAATATATTAAAAATGAACATACATCAGTGGTACGATCCACCTTATAATGACCATCGGTCCACAATATAATTTGCCATAATGGACCAGTACCATGGTTTGGGTCTTCAAAGAATATATATATGGGCCGGTGGAATGATTTAATATTTGTAGCATTGATCACTATTTAGTTGCAATTAGGTCAGCAATTATCATAAAGTTTTTGTGGACTATAGTCCAAAAACGATGTCGTTTCTTTAAGTAACGAAACGGCAGCCGTTATAATTTAACAGAGTGTGTATTTTTTTGTGTTAATTATCAAATGAAATTATAGTATATTTAAATTAACACTTCCTCACGTATTATTTTTATATTATCAAATGAAACTGCAATTGAACTAAACTGAAACTGTAGTTATGTTGAAATTAAACTGTTCTGTATACAAAATGAAACTAAATAACAACTTCACATATTTGACTCTATAATATCGAATGAAACTGTAGTTATATCAAAATGAAATTGTAGTTGTGTTGAAATGAAACTGCAGTGTATACAAAATGAAACTGAATAACTGAGTTTTTTTTGCAGAACGGGTGCTGTTTCTTTGGGGTATCTGTTCATAGCTACTCTCTCAAGTTTCTAGAGAACAAAGAGTTAATTTGGCTCGAACCTACAATCTCCAATATGAGAGTGCAACCTTGGTGCCATTATACCATAATGTCTTAGCAGTTTTGTATTCATTATCTATTTCATTAATAATAAATAAAAAGATATCTCATTATAAGATTACACAATTTGACTAATTAGTAAATATATTTTATTTTTTATTTATATATATGTGGTTTGACACATAAGCCACTAAGTTAGAAATGCATTTTCATGTATAGTTTGATAATCTATTTGACTCTTATTCCTAAAATAGTACATACATTCTTTTAAAAGGCTGAACCCCAATCCTAAGGCCTCTCACACCCCGACCCGACAGAGTATTTGGGAGACAAAATAGTACATACATTAATTATACAAGAAGGCTATGAGTTTGGGTGGTTTCAGCTTCTGCAGTTTGATTATCCTTGACGTTCTTATTGTTCTTTCCACTTTGGATTTCACCGTAGAAATAAGACACGAACCCCCAAAGAGAGAGGGCAAGAGCGATACCCTTGTTGGGCTGGAAATTTTCGCCGTAAAAGACGACGCCCAATACCTCTGTCACCGAAATTAAGACGGCGATTACGACGCCGGACAACAAAGACGAACCGTAGCATACCACTCCGACGACTCCGAGGAAAAAGAGTTGCCACAAGATGGAAGTCCATATTACCACCACGTAGTATTTACCTTCTCCCATTCCAAATTCACTTGCCTCCCTAGAAAGTGCCTGCATCCCATATTTAATTTGTTTTTATATAATTATATAATTTAAGAAAAAGTGTCAAATATGTTACTAACTTTATTGTTTTAGTGTAATTGAATTACTGAACTTAAAAGTGTGTAATTATAAAGTATGGAGTATTAAATAAGTAAAATATATGGTATTGAGATTTTTTTATTTTTATTTTTGTGATAAAATTTGATCATTTTGCTCATATAGTATGTACTAAGAATTGTCATTTCATCTGTCATACTAAGAATTTTCAATTCAATTTGCATTAAAAGAAAGGAATAAGGTTCAAATTGGTCACTGAATGTAACCTGAAAATGCAATTAGGCCATTGAACGAAAAAAAAAAGTGCAATTAGGCCACTAAACACCCAAATGTATGCAATTTCACCTGATAGCAGGTTACCATCAGTTTTAGCAGGTCACCTGCTTACGTGGCAGCTGCGTTGGCATTTTTAATAATTTTAAAATACTTTTTAATAAATTTTAATAATAATTTTAAAAAAACGGCGGGTGGCCGGTCGTTTTATTTTTTATTTTTTATTTCCTTAAATTTATTTTTTTAATTTTTTAAAAATTTATTAAAAATTATTTAAAATGCCAACTCAGCTGCCACGTAAGCAGATAACCTGTTAAAATTGATGGTAACCTGCTATTCGGTGAAAATGCATACATTTGGAGTGTTCAGTGGCCTAATTGTACGTTTTTGGAGTGTTCAGTTGCCTAATTGCAATTTTTTTTCGTTCAGTGTCCTAATTGCATTTTCAGGTTACGTTCAGTGGCCAATTTGAACCTTATTCCTAAAAGAAATTGTAAGTTTTCAAAAAAAAAAAAAAATTATAAAAATATCTCAATTGCATATATTTTGTTTGTTTGGTAGTTGTTTTTTGAAAGGTTTGTTTGGTAGTTGTTGAATTATATAGTTTTTAAGTTTAGTGATATAATATTTGATATTTTATATCTTATAGGTTACGTTCATCTATCAACAACAATATATTAGTATATATTTACCTGGAAATCTTTGTTTATGATCATCCCAATGGTAGCAAAAATGGTGGCGAAGAAAGACATGACTGTTTGGATCTCCAAAACCAAAGTATAAGTGATCGCCTGCTTTGCTAGCTTGTACACCAACTCAATCGCCGGCAATATCAGCCCGTACAAACCCGCCGCCAAAAGCGTCGTCACGAACCCTATTATATACTCCTTGCTTGATTCTCCGGCGGGGCGGTCGTTACCGGCCCCGAAGGCCAAAACCCCGGCACCCGTGGTCAACAGCACGATCGCGTTGACGGAGTAGGCCGTGAACGTCTGTTTGACGAGGAGAAACGCGAACCCCGCCGTGAATGCAAGCTGGGTGGCGATGAGGATGGAGGAGGTGGAGACCGGAAGTTTGGACATGCCGTAGGCGTAGAGGATATTGTCGAGGCCGGTGAGGAGTCCGATAGCAGCCGTGGCGGCGAATACCTTAGGCGTCATGAAGAAGAGCTTTGTCGCCGGGCCCTCGGCTCTGAGGCGGAGAAAATATGCGACGGCGAGAGGGAGGACGATGATCGGCCAGGCGGCGTTTATGAGCCAGCTTGAGAACCATATCCGACTCCCGCCGCGGAGGAAGTAGAGGCGGGCCATAAGAGGGCCGCCGCAGTTTCCTATGCTTAATATTACACAGTTGAGAAGAAGGAGAATCTTCTTCCACTTTGTGGACCCACTTTCCCGTTTCTCCATTTCTAAAACCTCAGATGTGATCTGGTATTGATCTGCAGTTTTCCACCGATCGATCTTGATTCAACTCACACACTCAATATATAGCATACTTAAAACGTATAGTATATACATATAAGATTCCGGTTCAACCACTCTATCGAAGAACTGCGGACTGGAACTCTAGGTAGTAGATATAACAGTACTATACGTTAAAAATTTGGTATACAAATTTTTAAATTTTGTAATACTTATGATAATGCTTTTTTTTTTTTTTTTTTTTTTTTTTTGGGGTTCAATTGTAATATTTATGATAATGACTTTTTTTTCAACAATTAAATCTTCTAGATTTTTTTTTTTTTTTTTTTTTGGTGAGGATTAAATCTTCTAGATGAATAGTCTAAAAGCTCACAGTTTTCACAGGAAGAGAGATTTTAATAGAGCTAGGACCATACATATAATATATTAATAATATAATAAGTGTTGATTAATTTGATTCATTCGTTTGGGTATGTAGATCAACTATTAATGATTACTACGAATAAGAAAAAAAAAATGACTGGATTAATTTTATAAATATTGTCAATTTTAAAATTTTTAATAATTGTAAAATTAAGCCCATATTTTTTTATATTAAAACTTTCAACTGATGAACTCTAATTGGAAGCAGATGTCTCTTCCCTATCATGAAAAGACTGAGGAAGGAAGAAAAATAGTAATGGGAAAGAGAACTCCATTCCCCAATAAATTATCAAATTAGAAAAGAAAAGAACCAATTTGATTGGTGTGGGTGGCCGTACACTCTTACAGGGCGTTTGGTTGGAGGGGGGGAATTATGTGGGAAAGGAATTGTAATTCCATGGGAGTTGAATTACTGGAATAAAGTGAGAATTTAAATTTCAGTGTTTGGTTGACAGGAATAGAATTACTGGGAATTTCAATTCTAATGTTTGGTATACATGGGAATTGAAAGGGAATAAGTAGTATAAAGTCAAAAATGTCCATTATTGTTGTTAGACATTAATTTTAGGTTAAAAAAGGAAGGGGTAATTTTGACTCATCACTATCTTTTTTTCCCAGGAATTAAAATACCAGGGGGGACATGGGATTTTAATTCCATGAAAATGGGGGAATTGCAATTCCATGGAATTGCAATTCCCTCCAACCAAACTACGGAATTTAATGGCCTTTGGAATTAGGTGGGAATTAAGTGGGAAGGGAATTTAAAATCCCTCCAACCAAACGCCATGTTATCCCTTAACAAAGATTTATAGTTTAAATTCCTTCTCATATTGAAAAATCAATCTGATCAATACTTTATCTCTTAATTAGGTCAATCCAATGCAAATGAAGATTAGTCTTAATATGGTACGGGCTTACAATTAAGAACCGCTCAAGACACTTTAAAAAATAGAAAAGAAAAGAGAACAATTTGATGCCTAATTAGTGTGTGGGGTCCGTCAATATAAGTAAAATAATGGTAACATACTTTGTTTTCCATTTTCAATTACTGTTTTAAAATCTTAGCTTACGCTCGATCTTCAGCCACACATCATGCCAAGGCATCATCATTAATATATTATATTATGATAATAATATTTAATTGACAAGAAAATAATATAATAATTAATAAATAATGATTATTATACTTTTTGAAAGGAATAACGAATATTATATATTCTGTAGTATAATTTAATTTGTTATTTGTTATTATAAAGTTATAATGATATGGTCAAAAAGATTCTTTTTTCTTAAATATTATATATTGATCTACTCATCACTAATAATTGGACTGACTTCAGCATATATCCAAAATTCGCAATTAAAGTACACATTCTTGTTGTTCGGGTGTATGATGTGTTCCTTAATTAGCTTGGAATTTCTATCATAATTATAAACTTCTTGACAAGTAAAGTCTTTGAAGTTGAGCCAAAGCCACCTATCGAGTTGATTTTCGTAGTTTGATACTTTGTTCAGGATTCAAAATTAGTTTGAACTAGAATGTAATAATTCATTGGCCTAGTTAGTTTAGATTCATTATCTTATTTCAACTTCTCATCATATTTTCTCCGATCTTCATTTGCTCCCATATTTTAATTTCTACTTCTCTGGTGGCCAATTAATTGGCATCAGATGCTTGACTGAAAAAGTCTATGTTAAACTTTTATTTGGTCAAAACCCTATACTTTAATCTTAGGATAAAACATAAATATTTTTTAATTCTTTTAGCTCACGAATGAAAATTTTATATTTTAAAGTTAAAAATCTTCATTATAAATAATTATTAGATTAATATATTTTTTACAAATTTTTTTAATATAACTTACAAGTTATTTCTAAAATAAATACTTTTTCTCTTTTCTTCTTCTCTGAAAAACAAAGACATAGAGTTTAAGTAGATCACAAATATTCAGATTCATGGTTATATCATTATATTGTTGATCATGGTTCATATTGCATGATGAGTCATAGATATTCGAATTTAATTTTAACATATTGTAACATTTCGTAGTATAAGAAGGCGTGGTGTTTTCTTGACAGAAGAAGGCGTGAAGTTTTGTTTTTTATCTAAAGACCTGTATTTTTCACTTTTCCATCAGTTATTTTGACAAGTTATTTCCTCTCGCTTCTTTGGCGAGTTATTCCCTCTCGTTTTCTTTGGCGAGTTCTTTTTTCAGTAAGGTGAAACGTTTTAATTGATCATGGCGTATGTTTATCTCATCCTGAGCAACAAAATGCAGTTCAGATTAATGAAGATATTGTCTATGAACAGAATAGCTGCAATAGTTACTCTGGTGGTATGCAAGACTTCTCAAACAGATTCAGTCTTGGATAGACATATCATTAACATCAAAGAAGCTTCAGGTTCCTCCAATGAATCCAACTTCAATCTTGTAACACAGTTTGCGATTCAAGTTTCTTTTAGCATTGCTAGGAAAGTTGTTTCTATGTCTGACTGTAAAGAATGTCTTATCATTCTATCGATTTTAATTTTATTGTAACTGTTTCAACTTATAATTAATGAACTAGCTCTTTATTTTCAAAAAAAAAAATAATAAAACAAACAAACAAACAAACTTTCAATATATTAAAAATAAACATGCATCAGCGATACTGTCCACCTTATAATCAAATCATTATTGTGTGGACCATGGTCCACACAAGTTGTATGGACTATATTTTGTCTACTATAAAATAATATACATTTAGTATAAAAATGCACATTCAGTACAAATATAATGTACATTGTATTCAGGGGATATACATTATTTTTGTGCTGAGTGTACATTATATTATATAATGTACATTCAGTACAAAAATAATGTACATTTAGTATATTAAAATGTACTTTTTGTTATGGTACACATAACATTGTGTAAACCATGATCCATACAATAATTTGCCCCTTATAATGACCGTCGGTCCACAATATAATTTGCCATAATGGGCCAGTACCATTGTTTGGGTCTTCAAAGAATACAGATATGGGCCGGTGGAATGATTTAATATTTGTAGCATTGATCACTATTTAGTTGCAATTAGGTACAATAATGAGAAGGCGCATTGGTTTCCTTTAGGTATCACGTCATCAGCACACGCCATCTTCCACTATTTATACTAATTCTAGCTTTGTATTCATTATCTATTTCATTAATAATAAATAAAAAGATATCTCATTATAAGATTATACAATTTGACTAATTAATAAATATAAAATCAATAAATCATTATAAGTTTACACAATGTGACTAATTAATTAATTAATACATATAAAATCAATAACTTTACATATAAACCCTGCATTTGCACTAATTATAGGGGCAAAATATATATTCAAAAAAAGTTACTCTACTTTGCATACATATTTAAGGTATAATGTTATTTGCACTATATCTTTTGTTTTTTTTTTTTTTCTTTTTAATGACGAGAAATCTGAAATCACTAATCAATTCAAGAGTATAAACAACCACACATGAGATGTGAAAAAGTAAATCTCACTAGGAAAATTTTATACAACGGGTTCGCGATGAATACAAGAATTATCTCATAGGAGCCATTTACTTATTAAACTACTATCAACTGATGAGATGTTTAAAAAAACATATAAATAACATTTTTTTTTTTTTGGTGAGGAGAGAATCAGAGAAACATGTAGTCACTATTTATTTGGTATCCGCTTGGTGATCTTAACCAACAAATAATCACAAAGAGATAAACAAATTTGAAATTTTAAGATTATCACGATTTAGCCAACTTGGCTAAGGCTGCTTCGTGTAAATAACATCTTTCACATATTGACATATATGATATGTATTGTCCAAGAATATAATGATATGGTCAAACTTGTCAATTCAAGTAGCAAACATTGGTACGTCTAACATAAGTACACATATAGAAGGTTGTCCCACCCTAATCCCTCATGGAGATACCTTTATTAATCATTCTACTTTATTGCTGCACCCACACTACATACAATGAATCACACAGCATCCCAACAATGAAGACCCAAGAAAAAATAAAATTTAAAATTTAAAATTTAAAAACATGAAAACGAATATATGAAAGAAACTAGACGTATTTCCACGTTTAGATTTAGAAAAGTAAATATATGAAAAGACCTTGACTTGGCAATTCCATGTTGGCCTGGCCATCATTAACATTGTGAAGAATGAATTTCTCCGTGGTGCCCTCCGTGATGCGGGCCATGATGCGGCGGAGGAGGAGGCGGTGGAGGGGTTTCCTCTTCGCAGGGAGGCGCCGGAGGAACTACTAACGGTTTCTTCTTCTTCTTAGCTACGCAGAAGAGTCCAAGTGCGAGGAATGCAAGGAAGAAGAGTCCTCCTAGTGACGCGCACACCGCAATGACTACCGTGTGGTGCCCTCCTCCGCCTCCTGACGGTGGTGGAGATACAATGGTTCCGGATGACGGCGGAATGGAAGAGAATGGAGACGGCGGAATGGAAGAGAATGGAGACGGCGGTGTGGCATATGGAGGGAATGACGTTGAGGGTGGAAAGGTATAGGGTAATGGTGATGGTGATGGGCTAGTCGGTTTGGGATAGTGGGGAGATGGAGCTGGTGTTCGGGAGCCACGTGGTGGCTTTGTGGGTGGTGATGCCGGACCGTGATTTCCTCCCGGAGGTGTTGAGGTCGGTGGCATTGTTGACTTGTTTGGCGGCAATGATGCCGGAGATGGTCCTTGTGGGGGCTTGTGAGGAGTTCCGGGCTGTGATGGTGGAGTAGTTGGAGCTCCCACTGGTGGCTGGTAATTCTTAGAGGGTGGCGAAGTTGGTGTTTCGGTTCCGGGTGGCGACGGTGTTGGAGAGGGTGCCTGCGGTGGTTTGTAAGGAGTGCCAGGCTGTGATGGCGGCGAAGTTGGTGTTTCAGCTCTGGGTGGCGACGGTGTAGGAGACGGTGCTTGTGGGGGCTTGTAAGGAGTGCCGGGCTGTGATGGCGGAGCATTTGGAGCTCCCACTGGCGTTGATGGTGTTGGCGGGCAATTCTTAGGGGGTGGTGAAATGGAAGATCCTGGTGGGTGGTGGTGGTTTGACGGTGGAGCAGTGGGAGGTCGAGGGTGTGATGTTGGTGGCGGAGTTGGAGTGGATGGCAACGGTGGTGGAGTAGTATAATGCGAAGGAGGAGAAGTTGGCGGTTTGGGCGGAGAAACTGGATGAAGTGGTGGTGGCGGAGGACAAGGTTTTGGTGGTGTTCCCGGGCCGGGCATAGGTTTCGGCTTGCGATGATGATGATGGCGATGGCGATGGCGGCGGCGATGAGGTGGTCGTGGAGACGGGGAAGGAGTCTGCGGTGGTGGCATTACGTGACCAGTAGGAGGTGGTGGCGGAGACACTGCGTAACCTGTATGAGGTGGAGGAGGTGACTTGCATGGAGGTTTTGGTGGGGGAGGAGGTGGTGGTGCTGAAACATTGCAAGGAGCTTTTGGTGGTGGCGGCGGGGATGGCGGAGGCGGAGGGGGTGGTGGCGGCGGGGATGGCGGAGGCGGAGGGGGTGGTGGCGGCGGGGATGGTGGAGGCGGCGGCGGGGTGTTACAAGGAACTTTTGGCGGCGGCGGTGGTGACGATGGCGGAGGGGGAGAATAATATGGATAAGCCATGAGTACAATTGCTCAGATGGAAGGATAGCTTTCACCTTCGTTGAATGCCAACTGAGAAGTGCAGAGTTCTACCTAATACAACGACTTTATATACCTCGATCGCACGGTCCAAACATCCTAACAACTCTCAAACAATTATTAATTATTTATAAAACACATAATTTTCTTTAGTCAAAAATTCATGTAAGAATCATTAAGAGAGGTCGGGTCAATTGAAGCATGTGCTCCATCTCAACTAAAAACTTAAGGTAATAGTTGAATCTCCTTACCATTCTGATACCAAATTGAAGATTGTACATTAATGGTTATATGTTCAATAGGATTAATAAGATAAAAATCTAATACTGAAAAATGTAATATTAATTCAGAATCAGATGTTTGTTACTTATAAAAAAAATGTCATGCTTTTACATTTTAATTTAAAAATATTATATATTTCCTTAAAACCATTAATCTTTCTCTTATATAAATATAATAAAATTTGTGTAAGTTGGTTTCACCCTTTTCTTTAAACCCTAGTTCCCAACTTTTCTTTCCTTTAATTTGAAAGTGGAAACCTAATAATTATTATCAAACCAGGACAAAAAATCACTACTATAAAATTTATATCTTTTAAGTAAGATAACACAAGTGGTACGATTATGTTTAATGTATAAGCAATATTAGTTTGAATGGAACGAGGAGTTGAGCTGGGCCATGTGCAAATCGAAGAACGACAATATTGTTAATCATCATCCCCTAGTTGCCCTCTTGTAATTAAGTATATATTAGGTAGAGTACTTAATTAGTTAAGGAATTGAATAAATTGTAGTAGGTGCTAAACGATGCAAAACAATTCCAGCTTGGGTAGTTGGGGTTGTAATTCATCACGCCAACCACATGTTTTCACCTTTTTTCGAGATTATATATAAAAAAACACGCGGGGTGGTGGATCTCTTTACTGTACTGATTAATAATAGTAATAATGCATGCACATTCCCGGAATCCTGGTTGCTTTACCTAGCTTCTTTGTGCATTCGGCAAGATTGCGTGAGACTAGACAATCCCAAACAAGTTGGTCGAGATATTTTAATTTTAATTTTTTGAATTGATTATATGCATTATATAGGTTGATTTTACGATTAATGGATAGTCGACGGCCGACCAACACAAAACGCTAAGTGACGTGACTTAAAACAAAAACTTGTACATAAATTGTCTTAAACTCTTGAAAATTCGGATCTATTTTACCAGCAAGGAAGGATATTTATATAGGAGTGCTACTCGTACAAAAGATAAGGAAAATGAATTCCTAAAAATAAGCCTACCAAATCTGGACCTTAAGCTATAAGGATACTTCCTAAAATACAATAGGAAAAGATATATAAAATAGGTAACGAGTTTCCAAGTTCAGTTCATCTTTAGGTAAGATCTTCCAAATCCGGTAACTCTGTACGTGATTCACTTATAGCCCCTCCAACGATCCTCCATAACCGGTTACGAGCGAGTGCCAGTGATCTAAGTAGCTCCTAAAATTATAGACCGACCAACTGCCAGATTACCAGTATCATCCCAACAATATACTAGGCGAAAAGAATTCATTTCATTACATACTTAAGAAAAATATGTATAATTTTGGTGAGGTAATAGAAGTGTACTGTGGAAGTATATGTGTGTGGCTAACGTGGGAGTAGGTATACAATATGGAGGCAAGAGAGTAGGAAAATAGAAAGTTGAATAAAAAATAATGAAAGTTTGAGTGTGGGATTGGATATTTGGATGCAAGAAAAAAAGGGGGGATCGGAGGATAAGATGGAGGTGGCCAGGCTGGACTTAGCTTGTTGACTAACTAGCCGTCGTCCAACATGAATAAATTGCGAGTTGCATATATATATTCGTATTCATCACGATGAGTATTTAACTTAAGTAACATTATTGTTTTACTATGTATAGTGCTTATCGTTGTCATTTTGTGTTCATCACCTGGCGGCTAACTTCATTCCCATTTCCCAGCCAACCAGTCAACTAACCATACTGAGAAGGGTGGGTACGTGCCCAGGCCAGCTCATGAAATTCCTAGCTAGCTTAACGTACAAATGTACAATCACGTAAACTACGCTACGTTACCACTTACCCTTTTGTTTAGCTTAGCTTGTTGGCCGCAGGGAATGGGAATTGAATATAATGCATGCAGGCTGTACTATACGTGCATGCCATCCCAACTTCAATTCATTGACTTCCACCTCGTCAACGCAATCCCAGCTAATCCTATCGTTAGTTGTGGATTAATTACTAACTTCAATTCGCCTCCCTCATCCTCCGATCCATCTGCAAATTAAGAGATTTCATTTTTTAATTTTCCTCTGAGATTTGATATTTATTGTCAATTGTACTCCACGTACAGTCCACATCAAAGCATACAGATGCAAAAACGACGTCGTTTTATTAAAAACGCGCGTCTCTCTTTTAAAAAAAAATTCAGGTTCGATTCCTAGTAACAACATTATTTTGTTCATTCATTATGGAATTTTAGTTTATGGATTATGGAATTATAGTTCATCGATTATGGAACTATAGTTCATCGATTCTGGAATTATAGTTCATCAATTCTGAAATTTTAGTTCATAGATTCTGGAATTTTAGTTCATTCATTCTGAAAATTTTAGTTCATAGATTAGATTATGGAATTATAGTTCATCAATTATGGAATTATAGTTCATCAATTATGGAATTATAGTTTCGAACCTAATTTTTTTTTTTAAGGGGAGACGCGCGTTTTATAAAAACGACGTCGTTTTTGCATCCGTATGCACCATGCTTGGTGCATACGGATGCACAGCATAATTTGCCCACATCAAACACATGTATGTTGTCAATGATTGTATAGGTCCAATGACCCAGAAGATAATTAGTGATCCAGCCCACATAATTCATTTAGTGAAACTAATTGTTAAAGAACAGTTATTACTAATTGTTATAGAAATGAAGCTAAGGCATGAGTATCCTATCCTATAACCATGGTCATCATCCCTCCCTGAAGGCCCATGATGACAAGTTATTTACCCCCTCTGCCATTAATATACCACTTCTCCTCTTGCGTTATACCACCACATTTGGTTGCAATGAGAATTAGCTCAACATTTTGCAATTTCATTAGAGTGAAATACCATGTGAATTAGCTCACATTTGAGTAGGAGCTACAAATTGTTCATAATTATTTATCAAACTCAAAAATATGCAATTGGATCCTTGAACAACGCAAACTCATTCAATTCAATCAAAAATGACAGGTTAACCTGAAATCATGCTGACATGGCGGTTACTGAATTTAAAACTAATTTTAAATAAATAATTATTTAATTTTTTTTTTAAGTCGATTCGTCTCAGGCCGTCTCCTGGCCATAGAGAAGAAAGTGCTAGCTTCGTCTCGGGCCGTCTCCATGGCCAGGGAGACGTCTTGAGACGAAGCTGGCCCCTTCGTTTCTTGTCGGAGACGAATGATTTCTCTTTTTAAATTTTAAATAAATATTTTATTTAAAATTATTACATAATATTATTTTAAATTCGATCGGTAATTATCAAGTCAACCTTTTTCAGTAAACAAGTCATCTTAAATTAAATTGCATGAGTTTACATTGTTTAGAGACCCAATTATATATATATTTTTTAAGTTTGATGATCCAATTGTAGTTTAATGTGCGTTTTCTGAGGATGATGCAATGGTAAGTGTCAAATAGGCTTATCTACTACTGCGAAGAGCTCAATTCCCACCACGAACTTAATTAAAGTCTAATTAAACACCCTTACCAGTTAAATTTGTTCAATTAGTTTTTTTAGCTCAATTCCCACCACGAACTTAATTAAAGTCTAATTAAACACCCTTACCAGTTAAATTTGTTCAATTAGTTTTTTTTGAAGGTTGCTGATCTGGATCTCATGTTTGACCGCCGTGGCTGTTCGGCTGTCCTCGCCGGATAGCCGGTGGCTCAAATTCTTTTTTTTTTTTAATTAATTATTTTTTTAACAAATTGAACAAATTAAGTATGATTAATTAGACTTTTATTTAATTCGTGGTGAGAATTGAATACTTCGCATTAGTAGATGGACGTATTTCTCCCTTGCATTTTTATATATTTGGTTACCATCAAGTCAACCTTGGGGTAGAAGATTCAATGGGGATTCAACATTTTGGGAGAAGAGTAACTTATTTGACCTCTGTTCCTTAATTTTTTAAAAAAATCTAAATCTAGGAGCATCATAGATTCATAGTCTACAGAAAGAAGTTGCAGAGTTGAGTAATTTCCAAGATATGAAGTACGAACCTCTGTTACTTCCAACAACTTCCAGTGTACAGGAAGAAGAAGAAGAAGGAAACCTGGTCAAACAAACATGGGCAGAGTCGAAGAAGATCTGGCACGTAGCCGGACCCACCATTTTCAGCCGCCTCGCCATGTTTTCTCTCACCGTCATCACCCAATCATTCGCCGGCCACCTCGGTGATCGCGACCTCGCAGCAATCACCCTCGTCACCACTCTTCTCATAGGCATCACTTTCGGCTTCTTGGTATGTGCATATATTCACTGTCGTCTGTCCTAAACCCGATTTCTTTAACTCTTTTCCATCGTCATGAGCTGAACAGTTTAATTGTTGCCTATTGCCTGTTTGATATATTGAAGTGTGTTATCATTTCATGATTTAAACATATTGGTATACCTTTTTCTTGTAATTAATGCCAAGAGTCTTTTACATGAGCTCACAAATCTCTGAGGATGATGCAATGTTAATAATTTATTAACCTAGGATGCTTGATATACTTCAATTCATGGTTCATATGTAAAGATCAGAGTATGTCTTTATCTAGAAATTGTGATTCCTAGTAGATAGTATAGTTTAGTTTAAGAAATTGAATGTAAGGGGCAACCTCCAAGCACTTCATTTGATAATCTCAAGGTTATAAGTTCGATTTCCGGGCAGCTATATGGGCAAACTAGGGTCACTAGGTGAAATTTACTCAGCTACGAGCTTTCCTCGTCACTAAAAAAAAGAATGTAGTAGAGAGGAATTTTCATCTAAAAACTTGTAATATAAATTTGTTATTCATTTGGGGACAAATGTATATTTTTCTCACTCAATATGCCAATTAACCAGCTTGGGATGGCAAGTGCACTCGAGACTTTGTGTGGCCAGGCTTATGGAGCAAAACAGTATCATATGTTGGGCGTTTACTTGCAGCGTTCATGGATTGTGCTGTCTTTGGGCGCTATTGTTATGTTGCCACTTTTTATATTTGCGTCACCTATAGTGAAGTTGTTAGGTCAGCCGGATGACGTGGCTGAACTGACTGGGAAGGTCGCGATATGGCTAATTCCAATGCACTTGAGCTTTCCGCTCCAGTTTTCTTTCATGAGGTTCTTGCAGTGCCAGCTAAAGACTTGGGTGATTGCTTGGATTTGTGGCGGGGTGCTTGTTCTACATGTGGTTTTGAGCTGGGTTTTCATTTATATATTGGAGGTTGGAATTGTTGGAACTGCTCTTATTCTTGATGTATCTTGGTGGACTTCTGTTCTGGGACTCGTTGCTTATAGTCTCTTTGGTGGATGCCCTCATTCTTGGACTGGTTTCTCCAAACAAGGCTTCCTCGGACTTTGGGAGTTCTTTAAGCTTTCTCTGGCTTCCGGAATTATGCTCTCGTATGTTCCTTTATGACTGTCTCTCTCATGTAGTACAAGTTTGACTATTCATTCTTTTCTTAACAGAAAAAAGACAATTTTATTGGCTTTTCAGGTTGGAAAATTTCTACTTCAGAATTTTAATCATAGTCTCAGGCTATATAAAGAATGCTGAGGTTGCCATTGATGCTCTCTCCGTCTGGTTTGTAATTTTTTTATTTTTTATTTTTGGTACTAATTCGACTGAATTGTGCTCTTATGAAGAAGAAGATGATGATGATATTTCCTTGTTCCACAGTGTTACTATCATTGGTTGGGAATCCATGATCCCGTTAGGACTTTTTGCTGCAACAGGGTATGTTACCGTGCCTTTATAAATACTTTTGCCCTTTTAAATTCATCTATCAATCAAATTTCGAACTTCCATCTTAGTAATCCTTGATCAAAATTTGATGCTAGTCATGCAATTATGCAGAACGCCAATTGAGGTGAAAATTGGGTACATTGTATTTTGTTTTAGAATCAAATTTCGTTTCGTGTTCTACACAGGGTACGCGTAGCAAATGAACTTGGAGCTGGCAATGGAAAAGGAGCAAAGCTTGCAACCAAAGTGTCATTGTTGAACTCCATAGCTATCGGGATTTTGTTTTGGTTGATTATTATTGTGTTCCCTGACAAGCTTGCTATGATCTTCACATCTAACACCTCCGTCATTCAAATGGTTCGGGAACTTGCATTTCTGTTAGGAACGACCATTCTCATCAACTGCATTCAACCAATTCTTTCAGGCAAGAAAATCTTAAAACCAACTTCTTATACTTGAATTCATATGGTAGCTAGGCTGTAACTTCCGTTTTAATCCGAAATACAACCTTTGTTCTTCCAGGAGTAGCTGTTGGATCTGGTTGGCAAGCGCTGGTGGCATATGTAAACATAGGAAGTTATTATCTCGTTGGAATCCCTTTCGCGTTAACCCTCGGATGGTTCTTCCATTTCGGATTAAAGGTAAATGCATAGCATTAAAAACAAAAAACATCCCGCAACTTGTATGATTCTTGATCTGCATATCATACACACGTTAATGCAGAATGTTTAATGAGTTCTACTATATGTACTCTCAAATCTTACTCCCTAAATTTTACTTCCTAAGGTGGCGGGTTCTGATAAACTATATTTTTCATGTGGCCCCAATACAAGTGTCTACATCTAAGATTTTGTTTGAGGGAGTAAAAGTTAGGAACATAAAGTGAGAATACAGATAGTATTTTCCATGTTTGATCACGGAAGAAGTGAAGAAAGACATTAACTACTACTGAGAATTGTGTCTGTATGCTTGTACTATATTTGACTGACCCAATTTATGTTTTCAGGGCATCTGGATTGGAATGATATGTGGAACTGTGGTTCAAACCTTGATTTTAACAATCCTCACATTGAAACAAGGGTGGGAGAGAGGTAAAACACTATAGTGGTAATTTTATTTTTAATTAAAAAAAATGGACAGAACAAATCCATCAACTTTCATAGTGTTGGGTACTTTTGGTTCTCTACTGTTTCATTTGTATAGAAACATCAAGTAGTGCTAATTCAGAAAAATCAAGTAGCTTCAAAACATCATTACTGTTTTGTACAATAATCCACCATATTGGACCAATGTATTGTTTATTTATATGATGGAGTTTACTCAGCATATACCTTCGGGTAGTAGTTACCGGTAAATTGGATCATCAGCCACTACTCAAGAATGTACCCCGAGTAAATCACATTAAAATCATTGTGAAGAAAAATTCCAATATTGTTGTTAATTGAAGAGATTTTGATTGCTGAATTTATTTTACAATTAAGAATTTAAAAGTCGAAAAATTAAAATTTGTGTATCAAATTTGAAATTACAACAATTAATTAAGGTCACAAAATTAATTAGGGGGATATATATCATATAAGCCTGGTTTAGCTAAACCGGGTTGTCAGGCATAAGTTTATTAGACGACCGTTCCCCGGTCTCATCCTTCTCCGGGCCACTAAATAAACGACCAAGCGGTGCCTTGACGGACTTAAACAAACTCTTTGGGATAACCGTCAATTCCTCCCCTCCGCCGCCGCCCTCCTCCTTTGACGACCTCGTCGAACTTCCCCTGGAGAAGAAAGGCGGAGCCGGGGTGAACCCACAGCGGTCTGCCGTGCCTTCCCGATCAAACCGCTCATAATAATAATTATTGGCCCGTCCCCAACCGGTTCCGACGCTGTTACTTCTATATCCCTTCGTCGAACTTCTTTCGGCCGGTAACTCCGCGAAACTCGGGTTTCTGCTCAAACCGGTGTTAACCAGCCGGTTCCTTACCTCGTCCGGTAATCTTAATGTGAACCGTTCGCAATCATCTCCCGGTCGAATCAGTGAGTTACAGTGACCCGTCGAGTGAGACCGCGGAAATTTCCCGGCGAGTCGCTGTCGTCTTGGCGTTGATCTCGGCGGACGATTCCGTATAGGTGGTTGCGCCGGAATTGGATCCTCCGGCGCCGGCGAGGCATTGGTTATTTCCATCTCCGGGTGGATTGAGTCATGAACTTCATAGTTGAGCGAGTCATTTACCGGGTGATGACTCAGTATAGTAATCCATCCCTCACTTCCCTGTTCGTCGGCGCTAGGAACGAGATTTGCCCGGCAAACCGGACAGGTGACGTGTGACGCAAGCCAGACGTCGATGCAGTCATGGTGGAAGACATGGCAGCACGTCGGAAGCAGCCGGAGCGTCTCGTCGTCCTCGAACTCGTTCAAGCACACGGCGCATTCTAGCGCCCCTTTCCCCAACTTCAGACCCTTAACATCGGAGTAAAGAAACGTCGGAAACGTGTCGATAAAATCCGGGTCGAGCCCGCGCGTGACGCCTCGACGTCGCCGGCGCTGCGAGCCCGTTTCTCCGTCGGAGAAGTCCAGAGCCATCCTTCGCTCGACGCACTGACGTACATAGATGGTGATGATGCCGATTAAGAAAAACAAAGCAATGAAACACAGTACAATGGTGGCGGCGTGTGCGTTCACCTTGATTTTGGAGTCATCGGAGTTTGGCACCTGCGGTGGAGCTCCACTCTCCGCCGATATCCCAGCCGGCGGAAGTAGAGCCAAAGTAAAGATGACGGAGTAGCATAAGTAGTTAGAAGCCATATTATCTGAGCTCGATTTTCTTCATCGGCAAAACACAAGTACACGTGTTAGCTACCGTACGTGCACCTAGTATAACTGTATTTTGGTGGTTATGTCTGCCGGCGACAATAAATTAAAAGGAATGAATATATATATGCATTGATTTTAACGGACACGCGCGATGCAGACTAGGAGTGGGCCAAGTCTTAAAACTTGGGTTTTAAGGCATAAAATGAAAGAAATTATTAATTTTTTAATATTTATAAATTGGGTTAGTCTTATCTTGTGAGATATAAATATCAAGTTATATAAAAATAGGAGAAATTCAGCGGATACGGTAGTTGGTCAGTTGTTATACTATGGATCATGATCCACCTTGCAAGGTAGATTCTGGTTCTAAATTGTGTATTTTTAGTATTAGAATTGTGAACTTCTAGAATATAAATTGTGTTTCTAAGTTTTGAAAATTTGTGAATATAATACATGGTCATCACAAATTATGAAATTTTAAAAAGTAAATTGTGTATCTTTGGACCCAAAGTGGACACGAGTCCACATAATAATTTGCTGTAATTGGTTGATAATTAAAAGAGTTCAAGTTCAGGTAATCTATGTTAGTTTATCTTTTTGTAATTTTTTATTGATTAAAGTTAAAAGTGAATTTCACTCAAATATATATTTAGCTAGTAGTTGCAAACCTTCTTGTAAATCAAAGAAGGTACAAAAAATTGCGCACAGAAAAAAAAGTACAAAAAAAGTAGGATTAATGTAAACTTTGAGGCAGATAATTCTAGTAAAATGAAATTGTATATTTTTTCTTTAAAAAAAAAAAAAAAAAAATTAGTCAAGGTCAAAGATATAGAAAACTTGCGACAACAGGTATTAGTAACCACGCTAGGTTCAATGATGAATGAATAAAGCAAATGTATAATAATCATTTGACTTTAGTTTCAGACTAAATTATGATTATTCTAGTGGTCCAGAATAGTATGTGTATACATACAGGATTAATAAGATTGAAGAAAGTAACAGAATTCTAAGTTTATCTCCTTATGATCCTTTACTGATTAGGGTAGTAAGGTGAGCTTCACTTTCTCGTAAATCAAATATGGTGGAAGGTAGAAGAGGTTGCTGTTGCTTAACTGCCGAGAATGTAATAATGATTTGTCTTCCATACTAATAATTACATGCAATTTTAACAATTTGGTTAAAGAAATTCTTGAATGTGTATGGCTAAACCCAGTCTGCAGTGTAGATTCATGGCGATATAATTATGTGACATTGATCGTAACTCAGATCATATAAAAAAAAAGGATTGAAGAAGTCACATTTTGATGATATATATGCAATTAATGGCAAGTCTTAAACTACTTGGGAGTGTGAATACAGATCATTGTAGACGACACTTTTAGTGGTTTCTTCACTGTGCACTGCGTTTTTTGTTGGGCGAAGGAGAGAGTACACAAGGGTTGCCGCCATGGCTCCAACAATGGGTGCAACAACAAACACCCATTGGTTCTTATAAACACCTGACACAACTGCTGGGCCTATGCTTCTTGCAGGATTCATGGAAGCTCCAGTTATGGGGCTGCATGGCATGTTTATATGTTTATGATAGAATATAATCAGTTAGCCAGAAATAGGTATACGTACTACCAGCATCTCATCTCATCTCATCTCATCTGTTACTACTTACCCAGCAACCAGGACTTCAAACAAGAGTGTAACTCCAATTGCCACTCCGGCTACCTCTTTGTTCTGCAGATCAGATGATGAAGATTTGGTAAGGTTAATGCTAAATTAAAGTTAATCAACTGGAATGGAGAATTGAATTGAAGCTATATATATACAGCTCTGTCGTCTGAAGCAGCACCACAGATAACAAACATTAGAATGAAAGTCATGAGGAACTCCCATGTTATAGCCTCGAGATCAGTGGTTGGAGTGTTGTACTGAGTTAGCGTTGGTTTAATGTCGTTTTGGCGATTGAACAGCGCCTTCAAGGTGAGGCATGCAAGTGTTGAACCCAACAACTGACACACCACATACATAGGGACCTAGAAATCCAACAGATTAATTAATACATTAAAGAGATGGAATGTTTCAGATTCTGTGTTTTACTTGGACCAGATCAGAATCTTACTTGCAGTAAGGGAAGTCTGCCAGAAGTGCCAAAAGCTATGGTAACAGCAGGGTTGAAATGTGCACCAGAAACATGGCCTAATGTATATATGAGTGCCATTAGAGGAAGACCCCAAGCTAAGGCTATTCCCACCATGGTTAGCTCCTTCTCCCTATCAACAAGAGCAGAGCCACACCCCACAAATATGAAAATGTAAGTGCCCACCAGCTCTGCTACAATCTGCATATATAATACAAATTATTGATAGATATTTGTATTAGTACAAGTAGCTAGCAAAGGATGTTAATCATTTGTATTATTACCTTCTGGAAAGCAGATATGAAGGCAGAAGCTTCCCTAGGGAATTCCCTGGAATGAAAAACATGTTTATGCTTTGTTTCTTCTTCCATAATGGAAAATTCTCCAAATTTATTCTTGGGGGAAAAGCCTGAGACGTTTGAATCTATGCTGGACATTCTTTTACTCTGTACTTGTAAATGCTGATATATGTCTAAGGTTTTATAGTAACAAGTTGTTGACTTGGTACAAAGATTTGGATTTGGAATAATTCTTGACGTGACAGACTTCATTGTCAGTCGAAAGCTCTGATCTGCAAATACTAAAATCAAATGGAAGTGCAGTTGTGGAATAAGAGCATATACAAAGCCGGCAGATGCTAGTCATTGTACTTGTAAAGTATGGATGCCACAGAAAAATGCCAAAATGGAATTGTATGACATTTTGTTTTGGTCATAGGAATTTGATCAAGCTGTTGTCTGGCAGTTTGGCACCACCTTTGTATTTAATATAGGAACCCATAGCAAATCATTGTGCCGGAGCTTTGATTTGAAAAATTTAAAATAAATCCTATCAACGTCAAGGAAATTAAAGAACAAAGAGACATGGACTTCTTAACCCTAAAAGCAACAAGACAGGACAAGAAAAAAATGTCTAATACAAAGTCTAATTCTTACAGTAGAGATTGGTTTTATTATATAGTAAAGTGACCCTTCAATGAACTAAAGAATTTCGAAATCATAATATGTATCAAGACCAGTCTACAAAAGCCTTAAATTCTAGAACTGCAGGTTGGGCACATTGAACCAGCCGCTGCATGTGCGCCGGATTGGATGGCGTCCTGATAGAATGCGCTGCTGCACCAAATGCACACGGTAGGAACCATGTTTCTTCCCGATAAATTTGGGGCTACACCTGTATCTTTTCCAAGCCAAAACGGGGAATTAAACCCTTCTCCCATATCCACCCCGTAAGAGAATACCTTGGAATCTTGTTGGCCACAGCTCAAACTTTGTGTGCCCATAAAACTGTATTCCACTGGCTCGCTTCTCTCTGGTCTCAACCCTTCAAAATTCCCACTTCTATCATACTTCTGGATGTTCTGGTTCAATTTGAACAGACCTTCGCCCTGCACAGACATTGCATTTTTTTGTTTTCAAATATGAAATTTATTTTCGGAATAAAACTAACTTGATTGGTGTCCAATCTCTATAGTGATACTCTGTTGTAGAATTTGAGGGATTCCCTAATTAAATCATTTGAAAAAGCAAGAACAGAAAATAGTTGATTTTCAAGGAGCATTCAACCAAATCTATCAGTGAAAGATTCAGATTGGTACCTTATCTGACATTATGTCATAGGTCTGAAAGCAGTTTGATGACTGCACCAGTGAGTTTGCATTAGCTGCCGAGCCATCATGATTCAATAGATTTCCCACACTAGTTCTCCAAATGTTGTCATCCATCATACCTTTGTTAGGCTGGACAATATTATTACTCCTAGCACTAGTCATAATATTCTTCCCAAATTTTCCGACCTCATCCATTCTCTGTTCTCCCCAGCCAGTATTAGAGAAAACCGTATTATAATTATTTCCAAAATCAACGACATTGCTATTGAATGATGAGTTCTGCAAATCAACCCCAATCACTCCTCCCTGCTTCTGATTTTCTACTCTTCTGTGATCAATGTTATGAAGACTAGTTTGAGCACCATATGTTTGCCCCACACCAAATTGGAAACCAGACCTCCCTGCAGGGTATCCTTGCTGCTGAAGTTGCATTGTATTAGCATTTGCACCAACTTCTACATGAGAATTTCCAAAAGAGAGATTCAGATCTTGATGCACTGAACCATGAAGTCCATTAAGTTTAGGTCCATCTAATGAGTTGGTATAGCTCCTAGCTCTACTAAACGCCTGATTAGAAGCTTCCTGAACAAAAGCCGGAGGAAGCATTGCAGTTTCAGACGGTTCCTGCTCATACATTTCCACATTACTTTTGCAAGCCTTGTTTTCATTACCATCAGAAAAAAGTGAGAAGTTAAGACTTCTATCCTGTTTCAAGTCAGTAGAAGCATCAGCATTTAGTGCGCCATGACTGCTGCTAAAAGGAAAAATCAACTCATCATCAACATTAACATCTTGGAGTATGTTGACATCCAAATTATCAACCTTCCTCATTGAAACATTATCAACATAATTTTCAATTGCATCATTCTTCTCATAACCTGACAAGGAAAGCAGACCACTCTCAAGAGTCTTTTGCTCTCTAGGCTCCTCTTCAAAGCAATCAGGAAATTGACTTCCATACTTTTCAGCAGAATCTATATCTTTTTTCCAAGATGGAGCACACCCAAAATGATCTTCCATTTCCAAGTTACTTACATTATCATTGTTTGATTCGGCACAACCACCACTGTAATTTTTCTTATCACTGGACATGTCATCAAATCTCTGCTCATCAACACAGCTAGAAAAAACAAGATTTAAATTACCAGCACGTTCTTCTGCATCACCTGACAGTGTCTTTAAACAGTCTTCTGAAACCCTTTTTTGTGCAGAGCCTGTTGGGATAGAAGAGACTGAGACACCATTCATCTCTTCCCTACATGATTCAGCATCACAAGGCAGTTGCACACTGATCTGAGTATTTCCATCCAGCCCACTGCTATTAATGCATAGTCCAGATATTGACTCTTTGTTTGCAGCATGCCTATCCTTGTCAAGTAGCATCTCATCACCTGACAGTGTCTTTAAACAATCTTCTGAACCCTTTTTTTGTGCAGAGCCTGTTGGGATAGAAGAGACTGAGACAACATTCATCTCTTCCCTACATGATTCAGCATCACAAGGCAGATGCACACTGATCTGAGTTCCATCCAGCCCACTGCTATTAATGCATAGTCCAGATATTGACTCTTTGTTTGCAGCATGCCTATCCTTGTCAAGTTGCAGCTCATCAACATCACACGTTTCCACATTACCATCTGAAGAATGTAAATCACTTCCAGAAATTGGACCCTTTTCAAACTCCACTATACTAGAAGTACCCCCGGTTGCACTATTTTTAACAATATCCAATTTATCATTCAATGGGAAAGGTGAAGAGCTGCTTGAATTCCTTCCTTGTTGATCATAACTATTATTGGCTTTCTCAGAAGCATCCTCAGCAGCAGGTGGGCAACAAGCAGTGTTCTCATCATTCGACAAAATAGTTTCAGAGGTAGAGCATCTGGTAGATTTATTAGAAAACAAATCCACAGGGGCATCAGCACTTATTGATTTATCAAAGGTCTCCAAGTGCTCGCCATCCAGATTACCAAAATTACCTTTAGGTGAAGAATTCATCTTAGTTTTTGTATCCAAGCCACTAATTTCTGAAAAATCCCTGTTTGCAACAATTGGTTCTTGCAGTGTAGAATCTGTTTGTGAACCCATATTCACCTGTAGTGATTCAATGGCACTCTTTACTTGATTTCTCACATGGGTACCAACATGACCATTGTACCGATGCCTTTCGTCAAATGACTTGTGGCAGAACTGGCACACAAACTTTCCATCTTTAATAATTACCCCATCAGAAATGGATTGACCACTTTTTGATCTTTTTCTCCTCTGACAAGAAGACTGGTGCTGCAACAGATCATCCTTGTTACCAAAATCCAAATTACAATTCTCACAATGAGCAATTTCCCCTACATGGACCTCTTGCAGATCTCCAAGCTTCAATACATCTTGCATCTGATCATTAACAGAAGTATTACTAACAGGGGGTGATGATACATGGCTAGCAACATTTTCCTTCTTAGTAACATCTGGAACAACAGTATCTCTTATCTGTAGCATTTTGTTTGTATCAGTAGAAGCATGTTTATCACCATCAAGGATGCTTTTGGAACTCTCAATGGAATTAAATGGAACAGTGCCTTGTTCACTACGAAGAGAAAGCAAGTATATGGAAACTTCCTTGCATGACACGAAGTGCCGTCCATTCGGGCTGCAAATAGCCAAAATGATAGATAACAATTTAGGTATAAACATCAAAGCTATTATATAGTGTAACAAATATGAAACTATTAACATCAGTCTAATTCCAATAGAAAAACACATCCTTAAGTGCCACAGGGCCAAAAGTCAAACATGTCAATCATTTTACATAAACAGTTGTTACACTAATTAAAGATACAAAAGGAGAACAGAACACCATGAAAGATGGTTAATAACAAGCATGTAGTTGGAAAAAAAAATGAAATACATATTGAGTTTGAGCATAAATTACCACAGAATGAATGGTATGTGTAGCTACAATCTCTCAACCATTTTATTACATAATAATCCTATATCTCAGATCATTAGTTAGGTTAGACAATTAAAGAAACCAATCAATTTCTCAATTTCATGTGATAGACTAGATTTCATAACTTAAGTATCTGTCAAAAGACTTACATCTCAAATCAATGGGATGATTTGTATCTCAAAAGATTATTAATTGTCTCATACTTGAATGTTCTTCTTTCTAATTTAGGCTATATCAAAACAAAGTCACTTCTTTTAGAGGAATTTTCTCAAACCAACTCCTCATCCTAGTACATAAATATATATCCAAATAAAAATGCAGTGCTATTTTTCTCATTGTTTAAAATTAAACACTGTGCATTTCAAACTCATATCTCGATAAACTTGCCAAAGTCCATGATGAAAGTCCTTTAGGAAGGGACAGGGAGGCTTAACTAAGGCAAGGTTTCCTATATGTATGTCAAACCTCTAAAAGCAGCCTTTATGTTTGTTTGTTATACCCATCTCACCATTCCTGACTCACTCTTCAACAAGCCATCATCCAATGGGCAGAGAATTAGAGTTTGGTGTTCAAATATTGTCTTCCATGGTAGAAAATTAGAAATTGACTTCCTATTAAATAGAGGAAGAAAAGAAATCTGACCCTAACTCATTTTATACATATGTATGAGTATATAAAAAAAAAATTAAAAATTAAAAAAAAAAATCTATTACCATTGCATCAGTTAAAACTAATTATTTGATGAAGAGTATGGAATACAAATGTAACAATGCTTGTGACTTTTGGTTTCACCATTGTGAAACTGAAAAACGAGCAAATTTACCTGGGCCACACCAAATACTCGAATTCAATTACAGTTTCAATTCAAATTGATATTTCAAGTACCTAAGTTTTGGCAAGCAAGTAGGTATTACTGGACAGCACGGATATTACAGAATGTCATCAAGTAGGTTCTATGGAAGCATTTCATTGCAAGGAAAACCAAGACAACAGCTATCTTCAAGAACAAATCCTGCCAAACTCTAACTACTACTCCACATTGTAACTCCAAAGTGTTAGACAAAGCACATTACTAAACTTGCAAACTAGCAAAGAACAAGAGGAAAATGCAAACATAACACTGACAATTGGCAGAAAACAACAGTGGCATCTCAAAAATATCATTCACCCGCACATTAACTACAACTTGACTTTACTAATTATATAAACGTATTTGTACCTGCTTATTTATAATGCGTGTGTGTCTTTGTGTCATGTATGCATTAATTCTAGAGTTCCACTCCATTTCCCGTTTTAGTTAGTTCCTAGTTCACCAAAAACTATCAATAAGTTGTATTGTCAAGATCCCATTTTCCTTTACAGTGAAACTAAATAATATAAAGCAGCAATTATGGCAACAAGAAAAACAGAATTTCCAGAAACCTTATGTAGCGGCGGCAGTACACCCAAACCCGGCCAGCCTTCCTTTTGAGGGAGAGCAAAAGCTTCCAACCTTTTGGCAAAGTAGTCCCAAACTGGCTGGCGTCAACAATTCTTCTCTTTTTTCTCCTACTTCCCCATTGCCCATTCAAACCCTCGAGAAACCCTAACAGCTTCTCCTCGCCCTCAAGTCCTTCTGTCCTCCGCCTCAACTCCATGGAAAATGGATCCTCCAACGAGCCCAGAGCCACCATATCCACGGGCACACCATCAGCATTCACAATCTCTTTATCCCTATCCACCGAATTATCATAGACCACTACGTTCGTCATCGCCAAATCGCCATTGGAATGACTTGCATGGCTGAAATTGGAGTTGACAATGTCGCTTTTATCCTTCCGCGGCCGACCACGTTTTCTTTTGAACCCAGCGGGCGCCGCATTGGGCAATTGGGAAACCGAGACCGAATAATCTACTGGAATAGGAATTAAGTCGGAGGGGTTCGCCTCGGCTTTAAAAAGCTGTTTCAGAAGAGACACGATTTGAAAGCTCTCGGGGTCAGTCTCCATAGAGGGCTGATTCGGGTTGTGATTTGTGGCGCGGAGATGAGGCGTGCGGCTACGGAGAGCGGTGGAAGAGGCAGCCGGAGCCAGACGGAGACGCGAATAAGTCTGCTTGCGCGAGCCCGCTGACTCATTGAACACGGAGCGGTCGAGTTTGGGGCTAACGACGTCGTCCAAGCGACGGGGATCAAAAGCGGACGGGGAACACTGGGAAAGAGAGTAGAGCTCAGATTGGGACAGAAGTCTAAGATCAACGGTAGGTATTGAATCAAGTTGAAGCGGAGTCTCGGCGACGGCGGCGGCGGCCGGAAGAGAAGGAGTATCGACGGTGGCGGAAGCCATTAGTGAAAGGGGAAGCAGAGGGGCAAATTTGAGTTTCCCGGAGCAAATATATAACTTCCAGATGGCACTGTTTGTATGAAATACGGTCACGAGCGGGACAAGCAAACAAATTAAAAAAATAAATAAATAAAAATACAAAATGGGAAAATGGTGAAATCAAACCAATTTATCTGCAGATCTCAAATCTGTAATTCATCACTGTAAAAATCCGAAATTTTGCAGAAAAATCAGACTTCAATTCATCAAACAAAACCAGAGAGAGAACCGAAGACAAATGGATTGAGAGTAGCAAGAGACCCGGTTTTGGGGAAAAGTTAAAGAAAAACCGCTCGTATTTTCATGCCCGCTTTAAATAAGAATGGGCTCACTCACCGTATTTGTTTATTTATTATTTTTTCATTCAAAATTATTTTATTTCATCTTTCGCGGGGTCCATCCAATCCGAAAAACCGTTCATTTTTTATTAAAATAATATTAGATTGCCCATTTGATGTGATTCTTTAATCTTTATTATTATCATTAATAAATTTCTGTAATTGTTTTTTTTAAATTACCTTAGTGGGGAAATAATAAATTTATTGCAAATAATTTGGTATTGCTATTACAATTGAGGCTATATCGAGTGATTAAATAAATTGGAATGAAAATATGAAATTAATTTGATTTAATTCAATTTTTATGTTTGAGCGAGAATACTTTCTCGTATAAACAAACGTGGGATAGAACATTAAATATTAATAAATTAAAATAAAAATGAATCGTGTTACTGTGTTAGATTTTGTTTACTAAATTCGTTATTTAATATTATATTTTTTAACCTACAAATATTTGAATTTTTTAGGTTTCAAAATATTTTATTCTTTTGTACATAATTATTTGTAAATTTTTTATTTACTCATGAAGTTCGTTATTGATACGGTTACTGAGTACCCCAACGGGCTTGATAACTTAAACACTTGGCCCAATTTATTAGGCCTGATGATTAGTATTTTTAAAGGACTTACTTGAGCCCAACTAGCTAGGGAAAAAAAAAAAAAAAACAACAACAACAAAAAAACAAAAAAATAAAAACAGAATTGTCAATCATTTCAAATTGGCATGCTATATAGTCAACTTATCTTACTTACGCGTTACGCCTACAATGCCGTGGAACAAGGTTACCATGGTTGTTTAAAAGCGATGTTGCACCACATGGACAATCGACTAATCAATCCATCAAAGAGTACTATAGCCTTGTTTGGTAAATGAGGCAAATTATATTATGCACCGCGGTGCATAATCGATTATGCACCGCGCGTCTTTTTTTTAAATGAAAATTAACAGTGTTTATTTCCGCCGTTTCGCACCCTTTTGCAAAAAGTAACTCTGTTATTCAATGTCATTTTGTATGAACTGCAGTTTCAGTTGAACACAACTACAGTTTCATTTCGATATAACTATAGTTTCATTCGATATTTATAGACTCAAATATGTGAAAATGTTATTTAATTTTATTTTATATACACTATAGTTTCATTAAAACACAACTACATGATCATTTTGATATAATTACAGCTTCATTGTACAATATAAACTCAAATATGTGAAATGTTATTCAGTTTCAGTTTATATACACTGCAGTTTCATTTCACTATAACTACAGTATCATTTTGATATAACTGCAGTGTCGGTTTAGATATACTGTAGTGTCAATTGGTGTTTAATACACCAAACAAACGGACTCCGTTAACTCTAACGGCGGGCCGTTTCTTTACTTAAAGAAACGACGTCATTTTTGACTGGGTAAATGATGAATCAGTCAAAATTTTAACAAATTTGTCATTTTAACGTTTTAACTTTGTCAAGACACTAAAAATCATGTTTGATAATTCATCGATTTAGAGTAGCGATTTGCTCCAAACCACTGAAAATACAATTACAGCATTTACATTCAGCATTTTGGGGAAAGGAGAATTTCCTTTAACCAAAATGTCCCTATATTTTTGACTCCTTATGCTTACCCAGTGGCAAAATTAAGGTTAGCCGTTCGGCTTCTCTTATGTTTTTTTTATTAAATAATAATGATAATAATAATAATATTATTATTATTATCATTATTATTACGTATGTCTTTATATGTCATTTTACATATTAATTGTTAATCTAAACAGTTAATTTTGTCAAACATATTTGTATAAATCGTTAATACAATCCGCTAGTCAAATACATGAACACAATTCGCTATTTGCTAACCACTAACTACTAATTGCCAAACAATGCCTATATCAATTCACTTTTAATGTGTCATTATCATACAAATTACTTGAATCGCGTATAAATAATTTTTCAATGATCATCTAAATCGATTATCTACATCTACATCTCCATCTTCATTCCACATCTATTATGCTAGTTTATTACTATATTTTATCAAAAATATCCGATCGTACTCACTCCACATTTGTTCCTATCATTGATTCAGTTAATTGATATTTTCGAACTAAATTAACAGTTACCCGAAATTATATAAAACATTTAACCATTACCTAACCGAAATATTTTGACTAAAAAATAACTAACTGAATTTTATCAAAGTTTAAACACCCCTAGATGTAACCACCATGATCCACGACTATTTGAATTAAAATATAAACAATTTATATATTTAAACTCGAATGACAAGTATGCGCTTTCAGCCACTCGAATTTTAAAAAATAAGGTGGTGATAACGGAAGCAGCCCAAATTATGCTGCCCACTTTTTGCCCAACAAAAACATGCAACTTTTGGGCTTGCATCGTACCGTTCCTGAAAGTGCATATTTTATTTGGAACTTCCATTTGTCACGATTAGCGGATGTGAAAACGGTTTAATTTTAGGCCACCTAAAGAAAATGATAATGATAACGACTAAAATCTAAAGGATAAGAGTTCGAATTTCATTCAAAAATGTTTTTTTTTTTTTTTTTTTTAAATTGAGGTAAAGTTGAAGATATATATGTTTCAGTCGTAAACATAACGGACAACATTAGGTATGTTTAAATAAAGAAGTGTCTTTTACTCAAGTAGGGTAGGAATGGGTGAACCGTAATTAACCAGCCAAAATAAAATGTTATCTTGTCCATACAATAGTAATAAAACAATAATGATCAGTTTAGTTCGCGAAAATTAAATTTTAAGATAGTATTATATTTTTAATCATGAACTAAGCACGCTCGACTAAGAGACTAATAATAAAAATTAAATTTTGTAAATGTTAATAATAAAATTATATTTCACTCACTCGATCATCCCTTTTGAAGCATCGATTCATTTCCGAATACTCCGTACATATTAACTTTTGCTGCATGAAGGGTAAACTTTGTAATGGATATTGACTTTTGTTGCATGCAGGGTAAACTTTGTAATGGATCCAAAGACGGCATGACTCACGTAGTCAAAAAATGGTTGACAAACAAACAAACAAAAAAAAAAGAAAAAAAAAAAAAAGAAGAGAGAGAGAGAAAGAATAACTCATTTCGTTTGTACACCATAGGTCCATAGCAAGAAAACGTAGTATACTGAAAAAATGACTCTCAAATTAAAATATTTAAATCAATAATAATTACAAATTTAATCTTTTATCTTTTATTCAAGAGAAAGATAAAATTTAACTTTTAGTCCTATAACTATTAGAATATTGTTAATTAGGATTTACGAGTTTAAAATTTGTTAATTTGACTCCACAACGTAACTATTTAATTATTCTCAATTTCAGTTCCTCCGGTCAAATTGCCGGCAAGAAGTAACCGAAATTTTTTAATGAGCAATTTAGTCTTTTGTTTAAGGCACCAACATCGTCGAAGCTCTAAATCGGATAACCTCACGCCCAACTGTCTTCACGTACTTCATTTCCTTGAGGTGCTCGGTTGCGATAGGCTGCTCCGATTTCGGCGACCAGTTTCGTGTGAGACTCCAAGAGTGTCACCGCCCACAACATAAAAGATGTAGAAGTTGAAAAGATCGATCAATAGACAACTCCTAAAATGAATTAAATTTAAAACTTTATAATTATTAAATCAACTGTCGGACTAACTCAATTAAATTACCTCCAACCTAATCATTTACCGTCCAATGTTAAAGTAGCACCGTGCAGTTATGTTTTAGGCTAATTAAAGCGTACTTTACATTAAACCTAACACTCCTCACCCTCACGGCACTCAAATTGACACGGTCATTTTCACAGCAGTTGTTGCATTATTATTGTTCTATATATACATAGTACGTTAATTCAATAGGATTTAAGTCAAATCATTCACCCATCTAGCTAATTAATTAAGCTATTTTGTAGGCCGGTAGTTGTCCCGACCAATTATTACACTGTGCATAATCATTGATCCTTAATCATTTCCAAACAACATTATACATATAACATTTAATTTCCAAATAATACTTACTCACTTAGAATTCAAATATATGACATGTAGTATAATTAAATTATATCTCTGGTGTTATCATAAAAACATGTCAAAATAAAAAATATAACGATTATAATTTAAATAACATTTTATTTTAGACTACACTATGATTATTGTATAAAAGTATGTAGAAGCTATATCTGTATTGGGGTTAGGAATGACGATAGCAGCGTACTTGAGTTGCGATTGAAATCCAGAAGATTATCACATTCAATTAGTTCAGAAGTTAGTTAGCAGTTGGCCTTTTGGAACGGCGACTCTAACCGCTGACAGAATGGCTATTCGGAGTTGCCAAAAGCTGCCATGTGTAGCATGTTTGGTTGTGTGTCCTGTTTTCGTACACCCAATTGGATACCTCCCACTTGTACGGAGTTTGATAGGTTTCGTTAATCATCCACGTCAGTTTATCCACGTGTCGGACATGTAGAACGGGAAATTGCGAGATCTCCTATCTGGCATGTGGCCTTACTGGAAATTGGACCCTGAGAGTTGAGACAGACAAGTCATTTATTATATTTTTTCTAGTTGACATTTTGATGACGAATTAAATATATGAATATAAATCTATTATTACAAAATTATTTATTATAAAATATTAATTATTTGAATGATGATAATAATTATTTATATTAAAATAAAATTTATAATTACTAAACATTATGTATAGCAGAATAGTTTATAAACTAACTATTATAAAAATTAATAATTATTATAATAAAATGATGTAAATAAAACATTTTTTAACTTATTATAATAAAATAAGTACATCAGTAATAAATATAAAAATTTTGAATTAAATAAATTGAAGAAAAGATTTACTGTACTTGTTTGGGATGTGAATAGAGTGGAATCACGATTTTTAGTGTTTGGTTCAATCTTATCAAACTCATATTTATCCGGTTGAATTAGTCCAGTCGAATTCAAATAAGAACAAGACAAATCGTATGTAAATCCAATCCTTCCACTTGAAACCACTTTATAGGAGCTGAGTATCATATAAGTATACAACAATTTAGAAAATATTTTTTGAGTAACAATTTTAGAAGATATTTTTCGTCAAAATTGATCATTTTTTTCTTTGATTATAATGAATATATATTTCAATTGATTTCATTTTATTAATAATCAAACGCTGAAAATTTTAAAAAATGACTTTCAAAAATCATATTTTAAATTTCAAATGGACTCTATAGTTTTAGTTATATTTTATTGTACACTGTGAAATTATTGATTGGACTTGATAAAGTCTTTTCACCCATATATGTTAAATTGCAAATAGTAAATCACAAAAGAATAAGATTTACATATTTGATTGGTTAAGATAAAATGATATAAGGATAAAGATGCTTAATTGTTAAATTTGGATCAAGGCATCCTTAGTGATGGGTACACTGGTTTACCAATATTACGCTATATTAAAGAATTAGATTAACCAAGATTATGTGGTCCAATGGTACCCGGGTTGGACTTCCATTTAGAAGATTGTGAGTTCGAGCCTTAGCTCTTTGTGTTTCAGTAGGTTGTGCCACCACAAGCTTGCTTCTCACTCCTTATGGCCGAGGCCTTAGCATTTCGATTCATATATAAATGCAACCACATTGGTTTTTCAAAAAAGATTAACCAAGACTAGTCTAATGGTAATCAAATTAGATTAGATTTTATCAACTTGACTCAAATTATTTCATTATATTATACTATACTATGTAAAAAGATTTTATCAGCTTGAATCAAATCTAAAATCGTCTCAGAAAGGTAAGAAGCTTCACTATTTTAGGAAAAAAAAAAAAAAAAAGGCAATGAAAACCGATAATATTATTATATTCTCAGAGCTTCATGTTGTGTGGAGTTGGGAGCTCCGTGTAGCAACCGCGTATACATTAAATTTTTTTTTTACCTCCAGAACTTACCTGCCTCACTGCCTGTTTGGCTATTTATGGTGTCTTCCTCAATCCTTCCGAAAACACTAAACAGTTAACACTTTGGTTTCAAAAGCTGGATGTTCTTTACCAGACAGCTGCGAGACAGGTACATTTCCAATCTTCTGTATGTACGCCACTACCACCTACTGCCTACTGGCCACAGTTTTTTTATTCTTCTTTTGACTTTAATTTCTTGTTCTGAATGGGTTCTCTACTTTTTCATCCCAAAAGATATTAGGATTGTAATAATCCAGTAAAAGATTCGTCTTTTCCCAGAATTGATGCGCTCCGGGAGAAATTAATGGATCAGTGTTTAAAGCCATTTTTTCCTACAGGGAACAAGGTAGCGTAGACCTATTATATTAGGATAAAATTAAATTATACAAACACTCAAAAGAGTTTTCGCTTTTCACTATTTAAAAAAAAAAAAAAAACTTGAGAATTTTCATGGGGGTTTGTGTTTCTTTGAAATCTTTGGTGTGAATGAGGGTGTGGGAATTATGGTGTTTTGCAGGGGAAGTATTGGTGAAGCTTCTGGATAGAAGCATCAGAGCTAAACAGTCTGGCCGACACTGCAGTGAAGTCATCTTCCCGGGCTAGGGTTGGAGCCAGGAAACCAAATCTTGAAATCTCAGTACTTGGTTGCATTCATTCGTGTTCGTGCTTGTCGATTTGGTCCCCATCGCTGCTTTGGCGCTTGCCAGTTGATTACGGCTAATTTTGGTTAAATCTGGGCTGTAATCTGGTTTCAGTGATGTGAGCTGCTTATTCAATTCAGATTCTTCTGCGGTTAGAGGAGTAATTGGGGAAGAAGGAGTCTCCATTATATTGAATTTTGTGTTTTTCTGGAGCTGTCAGTTCATCTTCATCTTCATCATCATAAAAAAATGGCAATCTGCAGCAGTTTCCTCTGTGGTCTTGGTGGGGGGAAGAAGGATACGGTACTGAATTAGCTTTGGCTTTCTCATTATTTTACTTTGTCATATATTGTCATTATTTTGATTTGATCAAGTTTTCTGAAACCTTAAGATGCAGTGAACTGGGATTCTTGGTTTATTATTATCTTTGTTTTTTGGTTGGTATGTATCTGCAGGGTGATAAGAAGTCATTGAAAAGAGATGATGTGCCTGAAAAAGGTGATGTTCCAGTTCCAGGGAAATCGTCCAAAAAAGATGATGAATTGAAATCGACTTCTGTGATTGTTCCGGTGTCTTTTGGTATCTCTGGGAGTTCAGAGAGCAAGGTAGAAAGTCCCATGAAAGGGGAGGCGGAAGAGGTAGCTTACGAAGGGGAAGATGAGCATGATGAGAGCCTGTCGATGAAGAGGGACAACTCCGATTTTGATCTTCAAGCCCATTTTCATTTTGATTGTCGGGTTACTGATAAAGAAGAGGTGCAGTTTTTGAAACCGTTTATCGATAGTGATATGAATGAGGAAACCAAGAAGATGTCTGAGGAAGAGGGTGTTGAGTTTATGAAAAGCGGAAACATTAGTGATCCGGGTGTGGGTAAGATTGAAGATTGGGCGTCCCCGAGGCTTATGCGTTCGTGTTCTGATTTGGCAACTAAGGACTCGTTCAAGAGAATTGCGGATCAACTTCTTCCTTCCAAGTCTCATCAGTCATTTGATGAAATCCGAAAATTAGCTGAGAAACTGAGTGAGGATGTGATACCCCAAAGCCTGGGAAGTCCGGTTTCTGTGATGACACATGGCAGTGCTGATAAAGTTCTGTTGAAGAAACATTCTTCGAGCCAAGTCCTGCCCTCTGCTAGTCGAAAACTCTGGTGGAAACTCTTCCTCTGGAGCCACAGGAACCTTCAAAGTGTCCCAAAACCGCAGGTAGTCCTAACAAAGCCTGCCCTTAACCAGCAAGGCGGTTACTCTTCGGACACTCTAGAACAAAGAAACATAGGATCACCTGGTTCTTTCACCGGGGAATCCTTGAACTTAGGCAATAGTAACACAAACAATCAGAGTTGGAATGGCTTTCTTGGGGCCTCCGGTCTGTGGCCTCAGAATCAGTGGGTTGCTTTCCCCGAAGAATCTTCTTCGTTCTCTAGAGTTGACATGTGGGTGAAAGAACTACCAGTTCAACCTCCACTACTCATCGAAAAAGAAGATGTAATCTTCCCCGCTTCACCTGAAAGAAGCTCATCTCCATTATCTCCATTATCTCCAACTCCTAATGCTTCTGTTCCCGAGGAAGTTGCACATGCTAACAATGTGATTCGATCTTTGAACTCTTCGTCAACAGTGGCTCTTATCGCTGGAACTGGGTTAAAAGTTATTCCCAACATGTCAGCCTTGTCAAGCCTTCGATCTGTCAACTTATCAGCCAATTTTATCGGTGCGTTGTCTAGGATTAAATTTTTAAGAATGATTGTGGATTACAGAGTTGTTTAACACTCTTTCTACACACTTTACAGTTCATATAACTCCAGGCTCACTTCCAAAGGGTCTCCATGTTCTCAACTTGTCGAGGAACAAGATTGCCACGGTTGAAGGCCTTCGAGAGTTAACCAGATTGCGTGTGCTTGATCTCAGTTACAACAAAATCTCTCGTATTGGACAAGGTATAATCTTGTAGATGGTCTGTTAATTGAAGCATGCGCTCCATCTCAACTAAAAGCTTAAGCTAATAGTTGGATTGCACATTAATGGCTATATGCTCAACACGCCCCCTCATGACCTTTGGTCTGGCTCTGATACCAAATTGAAACACGTGCTACCTCTCAACTAAAAGCCTAAGTTGGTAGTTGGATTGCACATTAATGGCTATATGCTTAACACTGTTTTCTATTATTATTATGTTTCTTGTTCAAATACTGACTTAAAAGCGGGATCAGGTTTGTCAAATTGTACATTGATCAAGGAACTATATCTTGCTGGAAACAAGATAAGTGATGTTGAAGGCCTGCATAGGCTCTTGAAGTTAACGGTTCTGGATGTGAGCTTCAACAAGATAACAACAACAAAAGCGCTTGGACAGCTTGTAGCAAACTACAACTCTTTACAAGCTCTTAACCTGTTGGGGAATCCCATCCAGAGCAACATAAGCGATGATCAATTGCGCAAGACGGTTTGCAGCCTCTTGCCAAAGACGGCTTTCCTGAACAAACAACCCATCAATCCCCAGAAGGCGCGGGAAGTTGGAACAGATGCTGTTGCAAAGGCGGCACTAGGCAGCGGCAGCAGGAGTAGCTACAGGAAAGGGGCGAAGAGAGTGAGCCAAGGGGTTTCTCCGACTGCCAATGCTCACAAGAATAAGCACAGGTCAAAAACCCGAACCCACCATCACTCGAAGGTCAGGGCATCTGATGTTGCATCGTCTTCTCGCTAGATACTTCCTTCCATATTTATAAGAACATATGCATTTTTTTTTTCTACTTTCCAAAAATGAAGTTAACTTGTGCTTGTTTGAACTGTTATGCCTGGTTTGCCTCTGGTTTTGGTTCATTATTACAAATAAAGTGTTTGTATAATTGTATGTACTATTGGGGTTTCGACAAGTATATTTGATCTCACCCTTTTGGTTTTGGAGTAAATTTGATTGAATGAAGCATTAACATTTGGTAGAAATCAAAGAATAATGTGACACTGAACATCACAATATGAAGTCTTTACTATCAAGTTTTGACCAAATTATACTTTGATTGTTGAGCATATAATGTGCAATTAGGCTTTTAATGATGGAACACATACTTTAATTTAGTATCAGAGCTAGACCAAAGGTCATGGGTTCGAAAAAGAGACTATGGTCAAGTGTTGCTTGGAGCCCATTAAAAGTAATCGGCCCGCACACGTGAGGGCATGTTGAGCATATAACCATTAATGTGCAATCTAACTATCAGCTTAGGTTTTAGTTGAGTCCCGATCAACAATGCTGATCCTCTTAAGATTATGATATCTATACCAAATTACAGTCAGACCTAGAAACCCAAAAACATAAAAACAGAAGCTTTAAGAAAACAAAAATGCTCCTAAGAATCTCCAAAAAGTTCCACATGATCACCACAAGAATGTTTAGTTTAAACAAAGACTAAAGAGTTTAATGTGAATCAAGATTCACCATTTCTAGCCTGCATATCGGCATATCTATACAACTTCTCATTGAACACAACCTGAGGATCCTTATTGATCAAATTCCCATCTTCACTATAACCATCCCTTAGGAAGACACACCAGTTCATCTCAGTACCACCGAGGTAAAATGTCCGAGGCTGCTTCAGAAGCATCTGGTAAGTATGCTTTGTGAGACAAAACTCATCCTTAAACTCGACGAGATTATGTATGTATGCCCTCTTCTCCAATGTCAAGCTCAAGAACTCATGGATCACGCCAACCCTGAACTTCTCTGCTTCTAGCGTCCATAAATCCAGCTTACTCCCGTCTGAATAAGGCGAAACTAATGGCAATGTATTCAACAAGTTCAACCTCCTCTCATCATCTTCATCCAGCTCCAATGCCCTTCCATGCTTTACTGGGAATTTAAAAGCTTTCTTTGCCTTGTCTTCATCAACCATAAATTCCTTTTCTAATGCACTTACAGCCAATAAAGGATCCCAGTTCACAAGCTCAAGCATTCTCTTCCCATCATTCTCAACAATTACCCGGAAATATTCCGGATACTTCACAATCCTATCCCGGAAATCCTCAGGAATTCCGAATAAAAGCCTGTTATGGTAAATTTTGCTCAGAGCAATTCTCTTATCCTTGGACATCATTAACAATTTCCTGACTACTAGGATTCTGTGCTCTTCCATATCATTCATAATTCTATATTCTTCTTCCAACAATTCATCCATAAATTCAGTAAAACCGAGCCACAGCTTACCGTCGGAGTGGTGGTAAATCTGGAAGATTGAAGGGTGGCGTTGGATGAACTTTACTACCTTCCGGCCGCGGGGGAAGCCGAGCTGTTGGTGGAGCTTCCCGGCGTCGTCGAGGCGGAGGATGTTTTCCGGCTGTTTGGAGAGGAATTCTTTGGTTTTGGTGAGAAAGCGGAGGTGGTTGTCGCGGAGGAGGAGGTGCTCCAAGTGGCGTACGAGGTTGGGCTGGGTTTGAACCAGCTTGGTTCTTGGGCTCTCCTTCTTCTTCCGTTTTTTGCGGAATTTCTTGGGGGTTTTCGTGACGAGGAAGGAGGTGGAGAAGTGGGAAGCTAAAAGGGGAGAAATTTGGAATAGGGTTTTGGTATTAGGGTTTAAGAGTGTGGAGGTGACCCGGTTTTGGAAATGTAGGGATTTTCCGGTGAGGGTCACGGCGGAGGAAAGGAGGCGCCAAAGCTTCATTGGTGCTCCACCTGTCCTTCAATTCCGGCCAACTGAAGCACAAACCCTTCAGTCTTTCACAAAATGTCAGCTATTTTTATGTAAGAGGGCGGAAAAGTAATTTGCTAAATGAGTAAAAAAATTAAATTAATAGCTTATCATATACGGAGTATATATTAAATAATATAATAATCTTGATAGAAAAGGTTGAATTCTCCCAACTATGGGTGAGTAAAGATCTGTCAAATTCATCAAATTCGTCTCGCAATCTTCATTCTTCAAGTTAGATTTGTTCTTCTTTACGTCGTTACAATCACAAGTTTAAAACTGCGTCGGAGATGCGTTGGAGATGAAGGGAGATTTGTAATTTAAGTTTGTTTGAATTTTAAATTACTTATTTGTATTAGAAAATCGGATATTTGATTTTTTTTTTTTTTTTAACGCAGTGCTTGAAAAAAAAAAATTGTTATTCTGATTTTTTGAATGCTTGAAATCTTGTATTGTAATTTACTCTTTTTTGTTGTAAAATGTATAAATAAGTCATCGAATTATTTGTGTAACATCAATTAAGCCATTGAACTCAAAAAAGTAAAAAATTAATTCATGAACTCGAAAACAATTACAATTTTTTTGTGAATTCGTGGGGATTAATTTGAAACTTTTTCGAAATCAATGGCTTAATTATTATTTCCAAAATAATTAAATACATCTTATTTTCTACCATAATATACTTCTTCTACAAGTCTGAATTTCACAGTTGAATAACCAAAAGTAAAGAAAGCAACCAAAAAATGTATTACCGCAAGAAGCATCTCATCACTTATTCTGTAACAATTCTAATCAACATATGGTCGTATACTTGTATAATGTCGAAGAAGACATGATAGGAAGCCCTATCATTTTCTTCTCTAATTACAAATGCCTATGAACACCTTACGGTTTCATAGATGTTGCAGTTGGAAGTTGGAACCCCCTTTAATTTGTATTCCTCCTCTCCTCTCTCTTCAAAATCTTTTGATTCCACCATTTTTTTTCTGGGGTGGAACTTTATCACACCATTAATCTTGAAATGGAGAAATGAATATGGACACTATCATCTACAATCATAATCCCCCTGCCTGCCAATTCTAGCTTAGCTTGTAGCCACTTTTCTAACAAAAGGTTTCTGGCAAACGAGGAGTTTCTCCTCGCTGCTACTTTCTATGACTCGAGCATCCCATTTCAGCTGCACTGCGTGATCTCTTGCTAACTCGATCAGAGGAATTGTGTCCCGTATGATCACCCAACCCTACAACCATGTTCAGAAAAGGTTCAAGAAACTGTACTCAAGAATTCCACAGAGAGAGAGATCGAATATCACAACTGAAAATGTACCTCTGGACGAAGTATACGATCTATTTCAACGAACAGTTCTAACATCCCGCATCTGCTGTGGCTGTTTTGACTAAACTCGAGTGTTAGAAGTCCATCAGCATGGACAAGATCATAAGTTCTTGGATACGTTGGAAATGCTTCGCACCTGCAAACGTATGAAGTTGGACTTCCGTCTTTAGATATCATCATAGGTTCAAAATCAACAAATCCATCCAGCACATTTCTGCCTAGAGATAGAAGGAAGAATTTACCAATCGTGTAAAACACCGACGAATCCCCTGTCAAGGATTAGGGGGAGGAAATTCTGAGCACTAGTTGGGATCACATTCATGACCCACACCGATTTTCCTGCTTCCAATAAAGCAGCATTGAAACCACCAAAACGGGCGTTCATGTCTAAGACATTCCTAAGCATGTTGTAGGGCGGGGAAGGATCCTCATCGCCAGGTCTCTTCGGATGATCAGAGAAAATTAGGGGCGAGAGCAATGACCAATAATTGTTAACTGCAGAGTTCCAATTAAGGGAATCCTCGGCAAGATCTTCTGACTGTAAACCTGATGGAAGAATCCATATAATGGATTGAAATTAGAAAATGGAATTATTTGCAATTAATGTGGCGCTCGTATATGTTTTCTGCATTGAAGCAAGGGCAATTACCATGGACTTGAACTTCAGCTGCACTCAATCTAGCCCTAGAAGGCCATTTAGTCCTTTTTTCAATTGGAACCCATCTGCGGCTTTGTGTTCCCCCAATGCATGGTTCAAGTGGCCGATAATATGGAGATTCAATATCATGGCCTTTATTGCAGAGAGAAGGGCCAGAACCAGACTTCCTGAAAGTTGAAGCACGATTGCAAAATTAGGAGATAAATTGGAAACTCACTCCTCTCGGTGCTGAAATGGAACTTACGTTTTGCCTTACCTGCCAGAATAACACTTCTTTTCACTAGTCTTCTTCCAAACAACAGTCTCGTCTTGCTGTGACAGCAGCTCCCAACAGAGGTTTTCTGCAAAACCACGAACGGAGTTCCACTTCTTTTGGTTTTCTTTGTTGCGGAGGGACCGCTGGGCATTCATGACCGATGATGTCCACACAAAATATCCACCAGGTCTTAATATACGGTCCACTTCAACCAAAAGTATACCATCTGAAGTAAATACGGTAAATGACAAATTTTAGTAGAAAAAACAAAAAAAAAAGAATGCCATTTTACATTCCATAATAGCAGGCAGCATGCAGCTGAATTCAAGTTCTATTATAGCAATCCTATAAAGTGAAGCATTGCATCCTTTAGGGGTAAAATGGCAGCTTTTCGCTGAAAAGGTATGACTTTCTTGCCATGCATTTTTGCAGAAAAGCAATTGAAATCATGACATAGTAATGATTCCACTCAGTTATCTTATTTTTCCCTTTGTACAACTCAGATCGAAAAGATGCAGGGGAGGATGAATTTAAGGGAAAAGGATTGGATATAAACAGTTAAATGTATTCGGGATAAAGGAAATCGCGGGTACCTCTCTGATCCCAGTCCACATGACACTCAGCACAGTGAATCATATCAAAGGAAAGTGATGGGTAAGGCAATTGCTTTGAAGAAAATGAACCAATCATCGCAGGAAGGCCTCGTTCAAGTGTCAATTGGACTTGACTGCCAGAAGCCTCATAATTTGCAATGCACATTGTCAATAGATTGCTGGAGAAAAGATGGGCTCCAAAACTACCAAAACCACATCCAATATCCAAGATAACTCGAACCTGAAAATGTTAGATATATAATCTATTTAGTTTTCTTGTTACTAGATCAAAGCATAAAAAAAAAAAAAAAAATAGGCCAGATACTATACATCTATGACTGCTGAAATTTTTAGCAATGAATGATCGTAAATACACAAAATTGTAAACATCTTTGAGCGACAACAAAAGATACTTTATATTTCCTTTGGACTATAAGGAAAACTCATGACACATGTTCTAAAGAAGTTGACAATAATCATTTCATTGAAAGTTATAGAGTACCGTTGAGCTGGCCTAGTGTGAAGAGCACAATGATGCCAAATGTATGGTTTCATGAAAAAGTTGATATTCCTATATCTATATGGCATAAAAAATGACATTCAAGTAAGCTGGAAATGTATATATACTCTATAAAAGGCAAGTAGATAGAAAGATGTAGAATCCAATGAACATTACACACTTACTCCGGCTTGTATTAAATTGGATTCATTTCGTAGCCCAATCATTTCGGCAATTTGATGTGAGTAGTCCTCAATACTGTCGAACATAGCAGATTCTGAACGGAAAGAGATTTGCTCTTCCTCTAACATCATCATCCTGCAATTACACGGCAGAGGATAAGGATTAACAATATAGATCCTGACAGAATACTTTATCTAGCAAAAGTAACCAGAGGTTTTACCAACCTCTTCGTCAAACTCCCAGAAGAAAGCACCTCCTGAGCTGTGATTTTGACATTTGCAAGCCAAATAACATCCTTCCCAGTAGGCCATCTTAAAGGGATCTTGTAATTGAGAGGTGGAAGAACCAAACAGCTATCTTGGGGCCTAGGTCCGCAATGTCGATCATATTCTTGACCTTCAGAAAAGCCTAACTCGAGACTTTCTGACACATTAAAGCATGGAACATAATTCTCAGCCTCGGGTGGACAATACTCCAGATCCTTCAATTTAGAAGAACCAAGAGACAAGTGTCCAATGTCCTTCAAGTCCAACACTACTTGTTCTTGAAGCCTACGGTACCCATGATATATTTTACCCCTGGATGAGCTCGTTATTGAGATTGTCCACCAAAAGGATCCAGTAAGAGCAAGAACTACTATGGCAACTAAGCTAAGTTTGAGCAAAAGCAATGTGAACTTAATCTGACTTCGCCCAGCTCCAGGGCTGAAGGGATTAGATAGATAACCATTTTCACTAACACCATTCTTTGTAGGCGATTTGTCAGTGGAAAGAATCCGTAAAAGAAATTTCATAGAGAGGAAACTCTGATCACCAGCTGATTGACTATGATCAAAATCTTCTTTCTCTATCTTATCTTTCATCTGAGAGTCATCCAAGAAGCTCTGACTGTTCCCTGAGTGCCGGCCCCCACCTCCAACAGATAAACCTCTATGCAGTGGCCTAGCCATAATCCGCACTATCAATGGCCACAAAAATTACTGTCAAATATTAACCAAAGGATCTTCACTTAATTGAATTAATTCCTAAAATGAACAAATGAATAAAGGGTGATCCAGAAAAAAAGAGATCCATTAATAATCTTAGTACTAGATCCACAAACCACTTAACTTACTGCACTATGGAGTATATTTGAAGAATAAAATATCCATAAACAATTGAGAATGAGCACATAACTGCATCAAATTCAAGCAAGTTGAATGTATAAGAGAGATGAATAGTACATTCCAATTTCCAGTGTAAAACAGGGGAAAGTTAATCAATCATTCCAGTTAAGGTAAAACACACAAATTCCACAGATGACCCACAAATCAAAAACCAATTTTGGAGCAATTCAGACAACACAAGCCACCCATTTGACCAGCCCAGAAGCACCCATGAAAGCAAAACCACAAAGGAAGCGAGAGCGGGGGAGAAAAGTATTAGTACCTCCAGAAATGTATAAACTCAAAGAATCACTCACTCACTCACTCGCCGTTCGGCTCAGTAAGTAAATAGTAGGCGAGTAAGTAAAAGAGTTGGTAAGCAAAGCTCGCTGATTGTTGAATAACTCTCCTCTTCCCAGCTGCCACCCGTGAAACGCAAACAAACCATCAATTTTCTCTCTCTCCCTCGTTTTTCCTCACTGCCTCTGCTTATCAAATTCAGCTCGGTCGACGCGGTTTTGGAGTTTTTAGAGAGAGAGAGAAATGGAGAGTCCTAATCACTTGAAAGCTCGCTCGTGAAAGACTTGAATCTGCCCCCTCGTCGGATTCATATACGTGACACCTTCTACGTACTAAAATCCATTATTTTATTTCTGCAGACAAAGCTGTATATATAAATATTCTTTATACACATAGGAAAGAGAAAGCCGTGAATTTAAAGATTTGCAGGTAGTAAGTACAGTCCAATCCCAATTGTGATTCTTCATTTCCACTAATCAGCGCATGAATTTTAGCATTTCCACCCAACAAAACCCTATTAAATATAACATTTTTTTCATAACTATATTATCCAACAACTTGTAACAAATTCTTTTTGTTCGATTACTTTTGATAACCATATTTCTCAATTATTTCGAACTCCATCTCATTTTATTTTTATAATTTGATTTATGACATTTAATTGAAATTATTTTTAATTCAATTTGTTATAATATAAAATTTGATATTAATATATAAAATTTATATATTTAAAAATTACATTAAAATTTTAACACACAAAAATTAAAAAATAATTTAAAATTATTAAAAAAATAATGAAGTACAAATTTGTTTGACTAATAAATAATTAACATAACATGCAAAATGAGGGAGAGGGTGTATATCTTACACCCTATAAACAACACTCTTTAAGCCCATTAGGAGGTTTGTTATTAGCTTTCTTTGTTAAGCCCATTGCAAAGAGGAAATGGAAGGAAAATAATAAAAAATAAATAAATAAAACAGAGTTGCAAGAAAATGGAAGGAAAAAAAAAAAAAGAAACAAAAAAAAAAAAAAAAAAAAAAAAAACAAAGTTGTCAAATATATATATATATATATATATATATATGGACATTTACGGAGGGGCGCCTAATACGCCACAAGCGTGAAAATGGCCCTACTTTTTTTCTCTTTGCGCCAACTTCACAGAAAATCATTTTACTATGGGAAAATGATCAAATAGGCCTTCAAACTTTAGCTTAAAAGTCAATTAGATTCTTAAACTTTTTAAATGTGCAATTACACCCATCAACAATTCATTTAGGTGCAATGAAGCTCAAAAACAAGTTAATGACTTGCTATCACAGGTTATTAGGGTTCAAGCCACCTTCCGGTGAATTTTCCGGAAAAAAAAAGTGACCAGCAACCGACCCTGATTTGCCGGAAAATTCGCTGGTCACTTTTTTTTGCTGGAAAATTCGCTGGAAGGTGGCCTGAATCCTAATGACCTGTGATAGCAGGTCATTAATTTGTTTTTGGGCTTCATTGCACTTAAATGAATTGTTGAAGGGTGTAATTACATCTTTAAAAAGTTTAGGGGCCTAATTGACTTTTAAGCTAAAGTTTGAGGACCTATTTGACCATTTTCCCTTTTACTACAAATATAATTTATCTCTCTCTTCATTTCTGTCTCCTCCGAATCATCATCTTTCACATTCAACAAAAAAAAAAAATATATATATATATATATATATATAATATAATATATATATATAGGATGCCCTTAAGTTATTTTTTTGGGTAGCTTTTTGTCCTTTAAGATTACAAGGTGGGCTTTACATAAAGAATAGGTTCAGATAACAACTTCAGACTTTTTCATAAATTAAATGTCATGTTTGGTAAATGGTTGTTAGTTGTTTGGGTTAGAGAGTATACTAGTTGATAACATTAGTTGATTGTAAAAAAATGTTTGATAAATTAGATGTTAATTGATAGCTGTTTGATATAATTTCTTCTTCTTCTTCTTCTTCTTTAAAGCTAATTAATAAAATTACTTTAAACAGTTTTTTAATTTTAAAACTTTAAAATTACCACACAAAAAAAAAAAAACTGATTAACTAAATATTTATATTTATTTTTGAACTAAGCCAAACAATTAATAGTAATTAAATAAATCAAAAGTAATTAATAAAATTAACTATTTTATCAAACAGGCAAGGTATTGTTGAGTATTGAATTAATCTCATCTTGTGTGAGGCAGATACATGAATAGAATTATAAATATTTGAGTGTGAAGTGAACACGTTGGCGGGTAAGGAGTGATGGGTCACATGCAGGAATTGAAGATGGTAGGGGCCAAAGGCTAATTATTTATATAGATGGATGCCCTTAATAATTAGATAAGTGTATGAAAGACACATGCAAATTTCTTAACGATCAAGACTGATGAGAGAGGAGTCACATGCAGTTGTTAAATAGTTTTGTACAAATTAAAGCCAGCCACTCCATTCATGTTTCCTAATAGGAGAGGCCAGAGGGGGGAAATGAAATTGGGGGCATCTTTAAAAAAAGCAAAAGAATAAAGGGGGCAAAAGATGCAAATTAAGAAGAGCATGTGGGGTCCCGCCAGTACAGCAACGATTTGATGTACCTTAAAGAGCGGTGATGACGCGTCGTCTGGTCTGCAAATGGATAATGCGGTCTGCACTGCACCCGATAAACTCCCATTTGGCTTCTTCTGTGAGACAACCGGAATTTCTGAATCTCACGGGTTTACATTCTCGCCCCACCCTATTTATTACTATTACTCCTTATATTTAATTCTCTAAATTATTCCCTATTTCATTTCATAAATGCACCGCATAATAAGAAATTCATAACTTACACAGCTTTTTATTTACTCCAGTATTTATTTATTTACAATTCCACCATTATTTAAACTTCTTTTTTTTTTTTTTAAATAAAGCAAACCATTATTCAACCTTTTTTTTGAAAGGAGCCTGTACGGCATTTATTGAAAATATATGCAGAAATAGATGCTGGCGGATCATAATCCGAGTATATACTAGTTGTTTGAGTAAAAGCAGTAGATGCTAAAGTATGAGCTAAATAATTATCTAGTCTAGGAACATACTGAAGTAAACAATAATCAAAAGACGACATAATAGTCCTGCAACTATCAACGGCATATCCCAAGTACGATCTTGACGAGTGCTAGCAAAACTTCTGCGTGTGCTATTATTCTGATGTGGTGATTACTTGACACTCAATGTGGCAGTGACTTGACATAATTTTAAAAAATATTGGAATAAGCATCAAATAGGTCACTCAACTGCGCACCACATTGTAATTGGGACATAGAACTAAAAAAGAATGCAATTAGATCCATGAACAACGCAAACTAATACAATTGGACACCTGAACAACGCAAACTAATACAATTGAATCCAAAATGACCTGTTTACCTGGAAACATATGTTACCGAATTTAAAAATATTTTTTTAAAATAATTTTAAATAAAATAATAATTATAATTAAAGAAAAAAAACCTCATTCGTCTCTGACGAAGACGAAGGGGAGGCTTCTCTTGGGCCGTCTCCATGGCCCGGGAAACGGTCTGAGATGTCGCCTGCCACTTCGTCTCCGGCGGAGACGAAGGGGAGGTTTCGTCTTGGGTCGTCTCCTCGGCCATGGAGACGACCTGAGATGGCGTATGCCACTTCGTCTCCAGCGGAGACAAAGTCTACCCTTTGTCTCCGGCGGAGACGAAGGAGGTTTTTTGTTTTAAAAAAATTATAATTATTATTTTATTTAAAATTATTTTAAAAAAATATTTTTAAATTCGGTAATCTATGTTTTCAGGTAAACAGGTCATTTTGAATTGAATTGCATTAGTTTGCGTTATTCATGGACCTAATTACATTCTTTTTTAGTTTGATGATCCAATTACAATTGAGTGATTCTAAAAATATTAGATTTTTTAAAAATTAAAAGAGTTAAACAAAAATTGCCAAATGGAGATTGGTAGTCTCCATTCGGTAGCTTCCATGCCCCTCGTCTCAGATTCAATGAGGTGTAAGGGCTACCTATCAGACGAGGGGCAACCTAACATTTGACCATTTATGCTAATTTTTTTTTTGAGTTTTTATTTTTTAAAAGTTTATTACTATTTTTAAAATTTATGTCAACTCATCGCCATATTAGATGTCAAGTAATCATCACATCAAAATAATAACATACATGAAAATTTAGTTAGCGCTAAATTAGCGATAACCTACTTAATAAGTAAAATTATAACTCAATTATTGCATTGTTTTGTCATGACTCAATTAAATTATTTTGCCCACTTAAAATATTTATTTAATTACTTTTTCATGTATAATTTTTTTTAAGACGAATTTAATTTATCAATATACACAATATTGACTCCTGCCAAATCACCTCGAGTGATTCAAATCTCCTCACCCTAATGAATGAGCATTAAATTCAAAACCATATTAAAGTAGCATAAGTCAACTAAGTGGATCCTGCATGCTAACCCCAATGTAATATCATTATATATTTACCTAGCATTTAGCAACTACTCTCATAGGATCTAACAAATTACTAAATAATTATTCGTAGGAAAACACGGCCAATTGCCCATCTTTCATGGATTTAGTCAAAACCTAAATCTCCTCACATGCTTCCTTCTTCAATTCCATGATTCAATCTGAATCGCACCATTTACACCTTCAGTTTAAGACAATAACCATATATGCTATTGTTTAAAATGCAATTAAAAACTTTAGAACTTTGATTAATGTTTTAATGAAAATTAAAATATTCCCCACGAAATTATTTTATATTATGTTGGAAACCAAAGGCACATACATAATAATTATAGAGCCTTGTAATTTGGTCAAATCGGTCCTCATCATGGATATATAATATATATAATGTTTAGTCATTTGCATTCATCTTTTTCTTTGCCCATCTGTATGGCACTTCTCATCAGCCTCCACATAGATTCCATAATATATTTTATTATTTTTATTTTTATTATTTTTGTATTTTTTCATGTGAAAATGAGAAAATCTATCCTGGGAGTTGGGGTCAATGAAGAACGGAAAATGACATATTTGTACTTGTCGGCAACCCATTCCAATTAAAATTAATTAATTGACTTTATTACATGATGATCACAAACTAATTAAGATGGGTCATGATCTAAAATAATGTTATTTTTTTAATGAAAAAAAAAACAGAAATTGTTACGTTTTGTGGCGAGTTTAATTTTTTTAATTTTACTTATAGTGATGTTGTAATAGAACTATAGTGCGTAGTATAAAATGAAATAGAATAACAAGTCTCACATATTGAGTATATATTGTCAAATA